TTTTCTTCTAGTTTTCACTCCATAAACGATTTCTCTTCGTACTTCATTTCTTAATCTAGGCCTTTATTTCTTATGAACCATTTTTGGTTGTCTTGAATTCATTCTTAGGAATCCCGTATTCAACTTTACTGTCTACTTCGTTGAAACTGTCCCTCTATATTTACAATATGAAAACGAGTTCTCTGACTTTTCTACAACTTGCCTATTCTTACTGTAACTAGATCTATACGATCTCTGCCTCTATTTTATCTAAGAAACTTTTCACCTTCTCTTTTTATGCTTTATAAGAATGAATCTCTTATTTACTTTTTCGATTGATAATCATCTTAACATATACTTCATGTTTTCACTTCATCAGCTTTTATTTCTAGGTTTTCTATTGCCTTTTCTATATACTTACTCTACCACTCTGCTAGTTTGACTTCGAGTGTGAGACTGTTTAATCTTTAAAATTGTGCCACTTAGTGAGACTCATCTGGCCCTCAGCACAATGTGTGGTGCTCTACCAATGGTAACTTCAATGAGAGCCAGTTTCTAAGCACACATTTTATCCGCTCTAATGAGGCATATCCAATTGCGGTCTTTCGGCAAACTTGTTTTTCGTCATGTTACGCCAAAGTTAGACGCGTATATATATATATATACATATATATATATATATGAAAGAGAGAGAGAGAAAGCGAGATGGAGAGAGAGTCAGGGAACTAAGTGGCCAATGGGAAATCATTTTTGCTGGAGAAAACCCTAGCCTAACTTTTCAGTATTGCGCAAACCTTCACCCCCGGAAACACTTTTCCCGACGCTTTGTGGCGGTTGTCGCAAACATTGTTACAAAAAAAAAGCAAAAAAATCCGTTCAAGAAATCGTTGCTCACTACAGCCGGTGCGCATCGATTAGAGTTATACATACTTAAATAGAATTTATATAGCGGGCTGGTCCCGTGATACTGCAACGCGAATTGTAAAAATGTATAATAGGCGAAAAAAAACCTAATAAAAATTTCAAATTGACTTAAAAAACAATACTGACTAAATTATTTTTAGAAAAATCATGGTTCCTAATTATTCTTACCTGATAGATAGTACATAGTCGCTGAAGCAATAGAAGACTTTGTTTTTTTATTATGATTTAGATTTACTGACTAAATCCGTTGCTACGAAGGAAAAACCGGGAATTTTTTTGCAGGCCCTTTGGATAAACTAATGAAATAGAGGACAATAAGTATAGACAAAGGTCCTTATAATTAGGTTAAAAACGATTTCATATTTTTAAAGCTGATATTTCCCAGATTTTTTCTAAGGTTTTTTGGTGTCTTTGACGGACGTTTAACTTTAATTATTTTGCCACACAGTACTAGCGCTTCACCTACATTTACCAGCTTTACCGTTTTATTATCAGGAAATGTATTTTTTCACTATGGTATTTTAAGACATTTTACGAGAATGGCACTTTTGGGTACCAGAACCAGACAAGTTCATGATTTTTAAATCAACGCTGCATATTTCAAAAAGACCCATAAGGCTTTTAGAGTTTGGCACATCACAGGTAATAGGGTGTCCGACGGCACTGTATATGTAGCAATACGAAGCTTCTGACATTCATATATTCACTATTTTATTTGATGTAACGCTTACATTTATTTCGCCTTCCGATAATCAGGCGTATCCGTAAAGCCAGTTTACTACCAATAATTTACACTTCGAATAATCCATTGTATACGTTTTCCACTATCTTATTTGATAACTGCACAAATAAAATTGAATTTTCAACCTTTGTAACTGTAGACATACTGACTGAAGAATTTCACGCCACTTCCGCCGAAACTATCATTGCAGTCGTAAAACGCAAGTCTTGACAAAGCAGCTCACAATGAAATCCTCAAGAACAAGCACACATCGTCGAGCTGTAACCTTTAAGTCAAAAGGGACCGTAGACAAGGTAAATTTTGCCATTAAACAGTCAAAGTCATGCCATTTCCTAGTTATTATAAAATAAGTAGGAGATAAGTAAGTATTCGATTGACCTTGGGCAACTGGAACTCTCAATCTATTAAAGTTGGCCGCTAATTACACAAAATTAATCTAAATGCACCACTTACAGACGAATTCAGGTTTTTATCATTACCGGATGATGTTTAGAAATGAACCTTAACGATGCATCATCGCAAACCGCACGTAAAATATATCAAATGTTGATACAAGTAGAGCGCCAAGAAATTACATCACTTCGTTGGGCATATTACTACCATACTCATCACTCTATGGCATAATCACACTCCCAGTTGCATAACACGGGTAAATGAGTGCAAAATAACACGAGCAGCTGTTATGCACTCACTCGTAATGAACTCTGTAATCACTGTTTTAAACAGATTACCGGCCGATTTATACAACGTAACTGTCAGCAACGGACATCCCCTTTTCTAATTGCGCTTGCAATAGTACAGCAGCATATAATATTAATCTTTACTATTATTAATTACCCTGGATAGTTTAATGCAATGATCAGGTATGAACCAAATGTTTGCTTTACAATTCCCAAATAGGTCGAGGTGTGTCAGTACTTAGAGAATACGGTGCCGGGCCTTGCCGACTACCCCTGTTCTGGTTTGTCACCAGATAATCTGTCACGTTCAGCCCCGTACAATGTACCAGCGCGTTGGCAGATCGAACAGTTTCCTCAGATTCCGGCGTTATTAGGTAGATTGTCTTTCGTAACATATCGACGGCTCGAACAAATGCGAAACCCAAACATTCCATTGGTTCGTCCCGGGTGCCGGAGGTCTCTCGTAGCAGCATCGGAACTGTTGGATCTGACTTGCTTTTCCAAATTGTATCTTCTGCAGCGTTGCAGAGTGCCACCACGTTAGCGTTTATAAGGCGAAGCAACTCTTGAGGTGGACAGAGCCCTGAGACTTCATGAAGCGCGACGGAATTCCATGGCAAAGCGATTGTTTTCTTGCTTAGCAAGCTGAGGCCACCGAAGTAGTTGATAATAGTCGCTTTTCGGTGCTCCGCAGGTTTCACCGGTTTTGTGTACGAATCTTGTATGAACAACCCCTCAATTTTTTTCAAATACACAATCGGAGCATCAATCTGTACATGCTTTGCCGGCCAGGCCATGGTAGGCAGCTCAATCCCCTCTGAGGTGGCAAGAACTTTGCAAGGTTTAACGATATCGAGTACCGTCCCAAGCAGAAGGTCGCCGATTCCGTTCAGCCAACCCATGGTATTTACAATGAGAATATGATTAAAGGTGAGCTCGTTGTTTACGTACGACATCAAACTATTCACTGCCGCTACATACGATTCAGGTCGCGCACCCGCGGTGCTGTCACCAACTAATAAAGATTTGCGTGGCTTTATCTGATGAGCACCAGGCGGACCCATCAGTAGACAGTTGACTTCGACGAGGGATACACAAGTCGAAGGCGTGAACTCGGTCTGACCAGGATCCAAGTCGAGGACAAAAATCGGTACAGTCTTCTGCGAAGGGGGCCCGCCGCCGCCATCGGTTTGAGACTGCGGCTGGTCATCGCTCGATGAGTGTAGAATTCGGTTGCAGAGGACACGCATCGTCGATGATTTGCCTGAGTTCCTAGAACCAACAATGGCGACTCGTATCACGGTCCGAGTTGATGCCTTTATGAAGTTTGTCACCAAGATGTCCAATTGTTTGTTGGAATAGTTCGGCAACCAACCGACGTCGACTGGCGTAACGTAGAAACGGCAGTCGGACCACATGTTCTCCGGAGTAGAGTCAGTGGCAAGGTGGAAATTCGGCTTTAAGCTGCTGTATCGATCCGCTGTACCAAGTCCATGGAGGATGATGATTGTTTTTCGTGGGAAACGTTTAATTAATTCACCGGCTTTATCAAACGCTAGACCCGCACCCATCAGCTGCATTCGGTCGTACAGGCCTAGACTGGTACGAAATAAGAGGACGAAAAACATAACAAACCAAACATGATAACGATGGGTTAGATCGACAGTAAACATTCGTTGCACTACGCGATTTAAAAATAACTAGCAATAATAAAGCTAAACAGCTATCATCTAAACATTACATTAATGAACTAAATTGTTGGAAATATCGGGGTACAATACACGAATCACAGTTACTTCTTATAGAAGGTATAATTAAATCTTGCAAATTGTATGTACATACATACTTTCGCGTACATTTTACTTTTCCCTATCGGGTGGCTTATAGGAGTACTTCACAAAAGTCGGATACAGTTAAGCTATTGACTGTGTTTTGTGATTCAATAATGGTTCGAAGTAATAAGTTAAATAGTTATCCTATAAATAATATAGTAATAAACAAATATGTAAGCGAACTTAATATTAAATACTTGAGGTTATGTTCACAATGTTAATAAGAATCTGTATACATATATAGTAGATTCCAACTCAATTCTCTATTTTTTTTTTCTAGAAGCTGGCGTAAAGGAACGAAATTGCACAAAAATCTGACAACGGTGAAAGCATCCAGCAAACCCTCACGATCCTCTCACACGCATCCGAGTCTATATCACTAATGATCTGCAGTGGGTTACTACCTGATGTTGTTACTGCTATTGTTGCCATATGAGTTCGCGTTTTTTATCAGCAAGCAACTTCCAGGTACTGACTGCACATGCACAGGACCATCGGATGGACGAAGGCGAACGTCGAACACGCGTACACTGCCGTGGGCCACCTGGAGCCAAGCCGACCCAGCAAAGCTGATCATGACAGAATCGCTTAACGCCACGAGCACCGAGTTTCGATGAAGAAACAAGCGTACTCCAGTTGGCACACGATCACTACTACCACTAAAATGGTGCTGATGGGATCCCACTGGCCTACAAGATATACGTGTTCAACACATATTTATCAGATGGTAGTCGTAAATGTTCAAAACTTGAAAAATACCCCAAGAAAGAACCTTAATAAATGCGTGAACACAGCTTTTATGAACAAGTCAAGCCACATAATGGTCAGATGAAAAAGAAGTCATTCACTATGCCAAGAACTTCTGCTTAATTCTAATGGTAAGTTGTGTTATTGCAGATCGTTTTGATTGTTCTACGTTCAGTTTGTCGAATATTTTCGAAATTCAAGCTGCTGACTTAATTCAAAATTGTCTTAGACAGCTGGTATCCTTTCCTCAGCACAAAATAGACTATGTGTTTACGTTCGGTTTCGAGTACAACCCACTTCAACAAATATCTCTAAGTTAAATATTAGCAAATACGTTATCACTTTATCAGATATATTTTTGGTCTACAGAGGATTTAAAACTCGTTGCAGCTAGAGGTCATGCAATCACAATGTATCATTACCAGTTATTGTCCTTGCTGCAATCAGACATTTTCGATTTGATTAGGCTTGTCTTTGCTCCACCTATAATGCTTCAAGACTCGTCGTGTAACAGCAAAAAAAAAAAGAACAGTGAATAACAAAAGCTGCCATCGGAAATATGTCTCTTCATTATATCAAATAACATATGTACGTATTGCGATGATCTACCACACACATGCCCGATTACTCAGGATCTTAGACCTACTAACCGAGCGGTATCGTTTCCACTGCTTCGGCTTATTATATTCTTTTCGTCATCATCCTCATCGCCACTTGTCTGCTGGTCCTGACTGGCCTGGATGGTATCGTCTTCTATTCTGCTCCAGCTTCTGTGCGCCGGTTTTTTCAAATCATCCGGATCTACTTTACTGTCGTTGTTGTCATTTTGGGTGTTGTTGTTCCTACTCACGTTAGCTGCATCTGCAACAGCCTTCTGTCTTTTTTTCCGTTTCGGGTCCTGGAAATGCTCAGTGCTTCTGTCAATACTGCAGCGAGAATAAATGTTCTGAATCTCGCTGTAATTATTACTGCCACTCCCAGCATCATGTGGCTCGACGGCAGATTGACAGTCCGTTTCAGTGTGATCTTCGTCTTCGTCGAGGGAATCATCCAAGCTGAACCTTTGCCGTTTGGGTGGGCTGTTATTTTCGGAGCTTCGGTGTCGGGTCGTTCTGCTACGGTTGTCTAAACATTTTTTTTTCACGCCCCATGAAGAGGTACCGGCACTACTACTAAAGCATTCAGAAAGACAGGGAAAGGAAAATACCGGAGTAGAAGCATCTTGCTGGCCACTGTCGCCAGCGCTGCTGTTTGGACGAAATACGTTTCTACTGTCATGGCGAGTACGCTTTGATAAAACTTCTGAAAAACAAACGTTATGTTTACTTTATTTTTGAAAAAGGTAAAGTTTATGTATACTTTATTTATAGAAAATATGTACTATCGACCACCAAACTTAAAGATCGATCAAAACTCGATTGCAATAGGGGTCTCACGCGATACGTGAAGATTCAACGATAAGTTTATGAATCGTAATTGGACATCATAGGCAATAAACAAATACGATGATAGTTTTTGTCGTGTCTAAGTCGGTGCTTCGGGTTTCAGCATCGTATTCGTAACCATGTTGGCATAAAACCCAAAAAAGCTAAAATATTTTGGGCGCCAACACGCAGATCAACAAACTGGTAACCTATGTCGCTGTGGACCTATTTCAAATATGCGGTATCCTAAAAAAATATAAGCTTATTCAATTTAACCTTTTTTTTTCTAGGTTTTCTTAGATTTCTAGGTTTTAATAGGCAAAATGCTAATTGCTTGAATCTATTGCAAGAATGTGCTTTACTACGAATTCAGGAGGACTTCGAAGAAGACGGCAAATCTTATTTCTAACAAAACGTGGTGCCTGCATATTACCATCTTGGGGAAAAACGTATCTTAATATGAATCTTTCAAACAAAGGAGTTCGACAAAAACGTCCGAAAAAACACTGCCCATTTGCCAGACCTGATGCCAATAGACATTTTTTTGTGAAGATACGTCAAAGACAAATACTTATACAAAGTTTGATACTGCACATAATTTACGTAGTAGAACTGACAGTAGTTAGCTATTAGAAACAGCAAATATAAATTCACCTTCGTCGTTAGTGAGCGACGAGTCAAAGGCAGCGAAACCGCTTCGACGAACTCGTTTTTTACTCCCTGAAATTTAAGAATAAAGTCAAGTTTTTAAAACGAATAGTTCTAATCATTATGATAGGCTGAATGAATTAACCGATTGATATCAACCGACATTATTATATATTTTATTCCTTCCATCATCCTCATTGAATGCATGAAACATGGTACGTATCCCGAAGCAAAGGGTCGCTCGGGTTGGATTCAATAGCGCTTCCAAACATGTGTCTCGGAACAGTCATAAATGATTACTACACAACTCAACTACCTGATTATTATTTTGACTATTATTATTTCTCCCGTGGAAAATTAGTTCCACGTGAGGATCAACATTTTTGCAATACATGTGTTTTTTACATACAATGACATAAATACGGCAGTATAGCATAAAACTCACCCCTAACCGCGGTGTTCAGTCCTGGAGATGTTCGTTTCAACGGATTACTAAACCCACGAAAAACATTGAATGCACTAGTACTAGCTACATTCACAGATCTGTTTAGTCGTAAAGATGAATTCGACTCGTCTAGATCCTCTCGATGCCGTTGCTGGCGAACTTTGCCCATTCTCTCTCAGTCCCTTGTTTTAAACCGCGTATATGCATGCAATCACCAGGCAAATCACGAACTGAAACTTATGAACAATCTTCAACTTACTTGACGCTTTTAAATCCAACTCGAATGGGCTTCGAGATTGTCATCAAAAAACGTCACCCTTATTACCGTGACACTTCAAATTCTAGCTGTTTTATGATACTATGTCTTAGAAGAATGTAGCTGTCAATTGTCATAACCTGTACCGGCAAAAATTAAGCCACCGATTTTTTGCCGGCGGAACGCGTGGAATCAACAACAATCCATAGGGGGCTACGAATGTAAACAAACAGGATGGGTTTCAAAACGTAGATAAAATTCGCGGACGACAAACTCTGCAGAATAGTAATCAACGGGATAGCCTTGCCCTGCTAAAAAATTATGGGCCAAAGTGAACCAACTCTAAAAACAGTTACGCAAAAATTATGTGGCGCTTACTTTAACTTAACAGAACTGACAGATTTCTTGAATATAGAATATACAATCAAATCAATCTACTTAGTTGCTACAATATGTATAAGGTGCATAAGCAGGTAAAAGATGTTGACGTGATGTTACAATTACGTTCCTCCCTTAGACAGAGCCGCATCGGTAATTGCATTTGCAAAAAACAGGCGAGCTCTGCTTTGTACTGTAAACACAGTAATCGTAGTGGATAAAAGTTATTTTGTGTATCAGATGCGTTAGGAGTAAGTTGCTTTCAATTTTCGTCCGAGTTTAACGTCCGATATCATCGTTAGGCACTGCATCAGACAGACAGCTAGCTGGCTCCTGCCAGCATGAAACGAGCCGTGTGTCTATGCCCGAGTTCCAATTGCTTACTCTACCTGTAATGTAAAATCGTATTTTTTCAACTTTACGCAGCACAATATGATGGAATACCCAGTCGCAAAACCAAACATACGATTCGAGACGATTAATTTTATCTTTCCACAGCGGTCTATGATGATCTATGCACTCAACAAATATTGCTCTTAGTGCTGTAGTAAAATTGTAACGACGTGAAAAAGACCAAATCAATTGTATTTTCAACTTGCCGGTAATATCGAGTCCATTTAACGCACGTTTGGCATAGTAAGTCGAAAATAATTATCTCGAGCATTAGTATTTAATAATGGCTTTACAAGCGATGAATTAAAGGACTGATTGAAAAGGTAATTATCGTAAACAGTAATTTCTTTGGTATTTCAGTATTGTATTGTTTTGTGGGAAAATTCGATAAAAAAAATTGTACCTGTTTGGTTTTATTAACTAGGGCGGTGTCCGTTTAATTTGATTGTTGATAATTTGGAAGTTTACTTTTAAAGTTTAGGCTTTTTTTATTGATAAAATCTTTATTGATAAAATTTAAAATAGACTTTGTTGCACTTGAGAAACGTCTTCCCGAACTCTTTGAACATACTAGCTTTCGATTGATGTAGCAAACTTCTCAAATTGAAATATTTGTAAATTGTGCTACCCTTTGAATAATATGGATGTACTTTTGATCTCAGTTGCGTGTTCAAGTAACAGTTGCGTAAAATTCGAAATGTAGTCTTAACTAGCTACCTAGACGGAGTAAAAAAAATCTGTTGTGTGTCTAGCTGAACGCAGATGGATCCATCGAGTCATGGCGAAAAAGCTCATTCCGGGGGAGCTGCTTCGGGTGGTAGCACTTCGCAGCAACAGCCAGAATTTAAGCCTTCACCCCCTCTGCAGCTTTCTATGCAGGTATGCCATTTTTATGAAGACTAGCTTCATTATGCAATTTTCCGAGTTTTACATCCGTATTACTGTTAAACATTACTTCAAAGGCTGCTGGTCCATTTCCGCATAAAATAAAATGATTCTACGCTTGGTTTGGAACCCACACCACATCACAGTTTCACATCATCACAGCCTCGGGTTACTCTACTTGAAACTTAGTGTAACCATTATATAGGAGAGCTTTTTACATTAGAGGGTCTCACGTTTTGCACTGGATCGATATTATTCACGCAACTATCCGAAGTTATTTCCAATAGATCAAGTGTGTTTACATTTTACATTGCGCATAAATGTTTGCCTCACTCATTACTAAAGAGGCCTCACAAAATGATAAGGCATATATTTTCTCATTGAAACCCAGCTGAGGAAACAGTCTCTTGACCGACCCTCGGCCTTGAATGCCTTGAACGGGCGAAAGCCAGCTTCCGGCTATCGTGTTGCCTGTAACGGCTAATTGAGTTTCAGACAGGTTTCGTTTGTATAACAAATACTTGGTTTTTTTTTTGTCAATACTCTTTATCACTACAGGAACTTCTCGCTCAGCTTGATGAGTACCAGCCAACGATTCCAGACGCTGTCACGAGTTATTATATGAACACAGCTGGCGTCGAGACATCGGACCCAAAAGTGATTCGGTGAGTAATACTAGCATTTACTAGGTATTGTTACTGTTATCCTGTCAATGTTCAAATTGTTTTTTTCTATACCTGTACGCTCTGATTAAAAAAGTCGCTAAAAATCTATAATATTATTTTTTCTTTATTTTTTATATAAAATCTTCAATGATCCATTGTGCGTCTACACTCCCAGTGTAGAAGTCCACGGAATTTAATTACTTTTGTCATTCACTATATATATAGTTGGCAGGGCTTGAACTCATATATATGAGTGATGAATTACGAACAAGTAGTGAGCAGCTCTATTTCATATATCCATCTAAATCCGCTGTATTGAACTCGTATACTCTCTCTCTCTCTCTCTCTCTCTCTCTATATATGTATATATATATATATATACCCGTGTACTTAAAAATAAGTACACGGGTATATATCTCGTTATGAATGAATTTATATGGTCAATATCTAATTTTTAGAAAAAATAATGTAATCATATTTACTGAGATGGACTGCTAAACCTCTACACAATAAATAATAACTGATTCTATTCAAACGGGCAAAAAAAGAAATTATTCTTTTTTTGTCTATTTATTAACTCCGAAGTTGTAATACAAATTTTTGTTGTACTCTCTTTTTTAGCTTAATTTCTCTTGCCGCACAGAAATTCGTCGCTGACATAACCAACGACGCCCTCCAGCATTGTAAGATGCGTGGTGCTGGTCAGTCCTCCAAAAAGGCTCTAAAGGACAAAAAGTACGTTCTGACAACTGAAGACCTTACCTCGGCGCTTAGCGAGTACGGCATCCAGGTTAAAAAGCCAGCCTACTATAATTAAAGAAATACCGCGACTGAACCGTGTTGGGTCAATTCTTTGCGCGTCCAAGTGCCTAACATCTTGCGTTCGCTAATGATTGATTCTATGTAACGAAATTGCGGCGACTGCGACAGATTGTAAAAAAATTGACGGCAAATAAGTAAATCACACCGTATTAGAGCACTTGGATACGTAGCTCGTCGGCCTCTTCATCGTCCACAATCACACAATCACTGGTATTGACCAGGTTTAATTTCTCCCACAAACCTGTGGTTTTTTTGATTTTTTGACTCTTACCTAAACACATGTTTGAGTGACGGAATATGAGACAAGGATGAAAATGGTTCAATTGTCTGAAAAATCGAAAACGTTCATTCTGTGTCGCCCAACGCTTGTACTGGGCTCGGCATAGAGTTGGCCAAGGGTCTAGAAACATGTATGCTTGTATGTAATTCAACTGTGTATCTAAGTAATGATAAAAAGGAGAAAATACAGAGTTAAGTCGATACCATTCGCAGAGCCGACGGTATTGACAAAAGCAGCAGGACATGAATTTAAAATACCTATCTACTACATAGGAGTGTCAGAGTGCGTGAAGAAATGCGTAATCCCTGGATGACACGGCCGACACGGACAAAAATCTCCAAAACAACCAAAAAAAAAGAAACATTCATTTTCTTTAAGTGGTGTTATCCTGAAAAATTTAGAGATTACTTGAAGTTGTTATAAAAAGAGAGATTTCTTGGCATAATATCAATGTGAATATGTGCAAACGTGTTAGACGCAGGTTGATGAGTCTCTAACTCACGAGAAAATTTACATCTAGAGTACATAAGAGATGTGAACAGAGAGGGAAACGCAATATTTTGATTTGCAAACGACAGAAGACTGAGGGATTATCTACGAACGCAGCTATGTGAGAATGCGAGCTATAAGAAGAGAGTCATGTGAAGTATCTCGATTTGCAGTAGTGACGAGTGCAAAAAATACGTTTTTGTATTAATGACTAAGTAAATATTGTGATCAAAAAGTAATAATGGCTTTTCTTATTGTCCGTTACCTTTGTTTTAACTAGTGTTGAATGTATTTAGGAATAATTTAACGCAAAAATATTAACTGAACTAAACACGCAGCTCATAGAGAAAATCAAATGCCAATGTTCATACGCTAAATTGTCTTTATACCGCACTATATAAAAATGCTTTAATCAGATTACTACGATTATAGTCGAAAAAGAAAAACAGAGGCGCGGCATTATATTCTGGTAATCGATATTAACATTTTGAGGACCATCATCAAGGATCATTTACAATTGACTTAGTTTTTTTAAATAACTTTACATTGATATTTAAAATACCAACACTTCATACGGTATATTAGTAACTTGAGCTTTGTCGTCCATAGCAAATGTTGGTCGAACGGGAACAAAAAGGATATATAATTACAAATAGGCAACATTAGCTAATGACAGTCACATGTTTTTGCAATACGAAAAATATCGAACCTTTGTATCGACGAAAATAATGCCGCAGAAAACAGATGCGAGAAACTCGGTATTCACACATAGACAACAGTGAACACACACGAATGAGTGTACAACCGAAAAGGTGTAAAATACCGAAAGTATTATCGTTACTACTAATTATTCATAATATCGATTATTTATTGTTTGCGTTGTACAGAAAATAGTTCGGAAATAACCAGTGCCTTTTCAAGCTCAATCCTCATCGGCCGCTAATCGTAAGATTGTTTTTGGTAAAGGCCCTCTATTTGTCGTCTTCCAGTGAGATTTAGTAAAAAAAGCGGAAATCCGTATAATTACACAATAATAGATCTGACACAAGATAACGCCCTAAGGATTAATCTTAAGCATTAAACATTTTACTAATAGCTTACGAAGTAGCATGTGCATTACAAAGTTCGTTCACGAATTCTAAAAATTCTCCTACTTAAGTCTATATACGCTCAGTATTTACAGCCACTATTGAAACTCGTAAATTGAATACTAAAAATGCTTAGGATTAGTTTTATCATCATTTATTGACAATATCACTGACTCCTGTTCTTGATTTACTTGCCAAACTGATCGTGAGGCAGCCGAGGTTTCCGCCGAAACTTCAGCGCCATTAGATTTTACAGTACAACAAGGATGCTTTTCGTCGTCACAGGGGGCCTGCACCGCTTAATCGAACAGACCGAAGCCCATATCTTCATCCTCGTCTTCGGACTCTTGTTCCTTCTCTTCTTTTTTGGCCTCCTTGGCAGAGGCTTCGCCAGCTACAGCTGCCGGGGCAGCAGTTGCCGCGAATTTTGCTGGATCTTTGATGAACTCTTTCGCCATTTTTGCCTCCTCAAATTCGATGTCGGTAGCCAGAGCAATAGAGATTAGGTTTTTGAGTCCATTCACGATGGAGTGCGGGGCCGAAGCGAGGGTCGGATAACCTATCTTGAGCGATACGGCAGCCACGTTGCGGACACCGTGCATGAAGCGTGCCCTCAGGTCCTCAGGAGTGATGTCTAGAATCTCGGGGGCAAATATGGTACCATTGTCATGGACCTAAACGCAAAAGCATTACAACATAAAAACGACCGATAAAAGTTAGTACTGGAAGAAGGTTTAGTAAAAATTGATTTGAGTCAAACAATAAAATTACCACAAAATGCTCAATTGTCGATTTCACAGATCCATCGCATTTCAATGTAATCACATAATTAATACTTACAGCCTGGATTACGAGACTGTAAGAAAAAGGCGGGATGTTTAGCATATTGAGAAGGGTGGCCTCGGAAGCACCAACTTTATCTTTGATCACCAAAATTATTTTTGATCACAAGGGTGATAATACACATCTGTATGTTATGTTTATCTGAAATCAAGTGTGACTACCCGCTGAACTTAAGCATATCAATAAGCGGAGGAAAAGAAATCAAATGAGATTTCCATAGTAGCTGCGAGTGAACTGGAAATAAGCCTACTGCCAAGTCTTATGTTTTGTACAATAAGAAATGAGGTGTAAAAGTGTTTTGTGTTTAATAGGAGTACAGCTTAATTATTATTGAGTGGGTGCTCAGAGAAGGTGAAAAGCCTGTGTGGTTGTACTATTCTGTTGAACCGAAGCTCTGGAGAGTCTAGTTGTTTGAGAGTACCACAAAATGTTCAATTGTCGATTTCACAGAACCATCGCATTTCAATGTAATCACATAATTAATACTTACAGCCTGGATTACGAGACCGTAAGAAAAAGGCGAGATGTTTAGCATATTGAGAAGGGTGGCCTCGGAAGCACCAACTTTATCGCCGACCTTAATCAGATGGATGTCATTGATGATTTCAATCGTTCCTTTTGAGATTTTCGTAGGTATGTGCAAGGCCTGGAAGAAAGAAGTCTTCTCAGGACCCAGACCCGTGTTCTGTGCAGGCACGTGTACATTGACGGGGGCAATAGCTCCAGCACGAGCAGGGGCCTGAACCTTATTGTTCATGATTTTCTCACGAACTTCGCACAGATCCTCTTTGGTAAACACGAAGCCTACATTACCCTTGATATTAGGCAACAGCTTTTCAAGGGTCGGATTGTTCTCGATGTGCCCCTTGATGGCCTTTCGCATCATGGTATTTTTTCCCATAAGGAGCACGGCGGTGTCCCTTAGGGAGACACGAATCTGCTGCATCTGCTTCGATCCTACAGCAAACATCAAAATACTTTTATATAGCTTTTCAGCAACCGGTAAACACTAGATAATTTCTGTTTTGTGAATTTCAGTATTGAACTTCACTTAAACATATTGCGATTCATAAGAGGTGTCAGAAATTTTATAGTTCACTCATCATGCATATGAATAAAGCGGAACTTTTAGTTCTCAAGAAAAGGTAGCCAGATAGATTTACTTACCGACATTGTCAACTCCGACGATGAAGCATTTTGGGTATTCATCTATAAGCTGGACTAACTTCAGGAAATAGTTAGCCTTCCAAGTTTTCCTGTCCCCCTTAACCATCTTGAAGCCAAGCAGTTAGGGGTTATCCGAAGATATATTAAGGACTGAAATAATATGAAAAGTAGAACATACCCATAGTTACGGTATTGTAATAGCTAAATAGTTCGATGGTGATAGTGGCCGCCATGTAATCAATGATTAATCCCAATTCAGTTTTCGAGCTGCTGAACCCACGATCAACGTCGTACAAGAGGTGTCAGAAATTTATGCTCATTCATCATGGAGTGGTTAGATGTCATTTTGAGAAGTTCCGTAACTGAACAGTTCAGTAAATAACAGCCAACAGCAAATATGTCCAAAACCATGTCAAACCATGTTTACTCGTTGCGTGGCCACGTGTAAACCGTCTCTATGACAAAAAGCGCGATCTACGTGACTTCTTCACATTCTTGCCGTTGGAACTAGAGCACATAAAGCCAATCTATACATCATACTTCATTGGCACGTGTTTCAATCAGATCTGTGAAAAATACATCAGTTTTCGTAAACTGAGCATAACTAACCGGGTAGGTCGACGATCAGAAAAAGGTTTCGAAACGGGAAGCTCTTGCAGACGATTCCGCAGAGAATCCCCATCATTAAAAAGGAAACAGCGCTAATATTTGAATTCATAAATAGATTTTGGCGCTATAACACGTTCATCCGGACGACGCGCTTTCCTATGGTTCCGTGCTTGTAAAAACACTAACTTTTAATTATGTAAGAATTTTCGATTTTTTCTTTAAAATAAAGGCTGTCTAATAATCATGGTGCAGTTAATTATTAAATGGTAAGTTACACAACAGCTTCCTAGTGTATTCTTAGGTGCCAAACGGTTAGTTTTCATTAAGAACTTATCAATGAAAAGCCAAGAACTGTTACAAAAACTGTCAGCGATTATTTATCAAAATGCCCAAGTATTCTACCTAAACATTGCTTTCGTTGAAAACTACGATAGCTGACCTCAATTTACTTCGATTTGTTCCATACGTTGCAGTTCGGGCATCCTCTACTTCTTTGTATGTCGTATTTCATCTCTACACTTGAAAATAACAAAACAGGAACCATTAATTGGATCATAAACTGGCTGTAGCGTTCATTGAGTGCGCACGCACATATCTGGCACCACTAAATAAAAATATACCAATATTCGTCTTGGGTGGTATAAGTTTACCATTTCCGATAAACCCAACTAAAATGTATGAACTAAAACGGCATTGTTTATAAATTGCTCAGCGAAGTTCTTTTACCGTAAATACTCTGGTCTATGTGATTAAATTAGCCTGGACCCATCGGCGCAGCTACCCGAATGGGGCCTCATCGAGCTGCAGGGCGATATTAAGCACCGTCACGGCGACGACGTTCCTTTAAATGATCTCCATTTAGGTGACCTTCACTTTACTAAGGAGGTAAGACGCTCTCTTAATTCAAAAATTTCACTCTAGTTGTTCGGAATGTTATCAGTGTTATGCTCAGATGTCAATACTTTACTAATTAATTTATTAAGCTTACTATTATTAAGATTATTAGAGCTTAATTAGTTGTTGAAAAGCCGCATTTTAACATATTAAGACGAAGTGATATTGCATTTATTTCTTAAACTAATTTCTTAAATAAGACTTCTTATTTTTTTTTCACAACAAGGGATAATTTGATCAAAGCACAGTTAGCACCTCATTCGGGCCATAGTTTTTTTAACTTGTTAGCCCGTATCACATTGTTATAAAAGATCGCTTATTTTAACATTGTTGACAGATATCTCTATTGCCACACCGTACTGACGTAAAATACAATGTTTTTTCCACGTATTTACCTACGTCGCGTTGTAATTTCCTTCAGGGTACCCCAATGATTCTCATCGGGCACCACGTGCTCTATGGAAAGATAGTCGACCTCGATAAGCCATTTCTGGCCATACGACGAGTTCGGGGCGAAGGCAAAGATGCCACATCGTTCCACATCCAGGCTACGATCACCAGGAAAATCATTTTTAAGACACGACCAAAACCCATTGTCACTAATGTACTAAAAAACTAACAGTGTACCTGCATCTTTTGTAAATGCGTACCCCAAGTTATATGGCAGCCTTAAAATAGAACATGATAGTATACAAAAGGCATTGTTATATGAATTCACTGAATGAACAGGCGTTTCACACATAGCGACATATTGGATAACACAACTACCTGAGTGATCAGAATTAAGTCAGTGATTTTATGAACAAGTGCATGAATTCGGGTATGAGCAGGACATAATTTAAGAAATCCTCAGCCTACCACCAACTTGGAGCGCCTCGCGACTTATTCTCTCTCAGAAATACGTTTGAACTTCATTGCTACGGAAACTGTGACGCACATCCACTTCACCGTGTAGTCACGCAACCTCCAAATGAATCCCTCTGTTTATACGCGGATCTGTATCCCTACTGTAAGGAGAAACTAAGACAGAGTCGAAAAAAGATATGTCAGCCGCGATAAATACCATTATATATAACAACATGGTTTTTCGACTTTTACGTTGTTTCTTTCAAGAAATTTTTTTTCAGAGTTTTGAGAGTTTGCCGTCAGCTAGAAACTGTGAGCAGTAAACCTACTTACTTTTTTCGAATGAAATCATAGTTCTTCCTGTTTAAAGCAGTGTAAGATTTTTAAAGTATAACAGCCTTTAAGTTGGTGCCTTTAGTTTGAGTTTAGAGATTCGCCTTATCAAAAAGATTGCGAATGGTTAGATACAGCTAATACGACAATTTTGTCATCGAGGGAGCATTATTTCGAAAAAAAATAACTCTGCTGTTTTGGTGAAGTAACCTGTTAATATTGTGACTCCGTGCAGGAAACTAATAATCTAGCAACAAAAACACATAAGATGGAATACTAGACGTGAGTGAATGATATTCTATTGCCAATGTATTTTAGAATATACGCGAACTCAGAGTTAATTATGGTGGGTAACGATTTATGAAACTAAATACGTTAATAACTGTACGCCTGTTCACCTCTGTCGGACGATGGCTCGAACAGTGCATTCCCTTTAACATCTATAAATTTGTCATTCGTTGGGGTTGAACAGTTATATTAAGCATATTTACCTCTTTTTCAAACCGCGCCGTAAACTTAGCCTTTTTCTTCTTGTGTGTTAAATCACCCTGAATCTGAACTGTAAAGTATTATTATGATGATCACCATGTGGTTCGCAACATAATGGGGCCCACTTTACTTTTCCCGCGAAGGTCGCGAAGGGCAGACTTGCATTTCAGGGTCAAGACTTGTGTGAAGTACTACAAGCCATATTTCTTTCCCTCGGCTGGTGGCTGCATGGCCTGTCGCTGCTGCTAAACCTATCTGGGTTTCTCTTCGATGGAGCTAGGAAACAGCATAGTAAGAATATGCCGTAGTATTTGCCAACGCTGAATGTTGTGTGTTTGCCAATATTTTTCCAACCTGATATGTAATAAACTCGGTCGATCGATTACAGATGCCCGTAACTTATATTAAGAAACGGGCAACAATAAACTTCCTGTTATGTTAATATTTAACTTTAATATTCTATTCAAGCTTTTGCTTATTAACAAATTAACACGAGCCACAACAGTAAAAATTGCTTACATTTATTGTAATTTGCCAGTTGGGCACTCTCCAGTAAATACCAGCAATTCTATGCTTCCGAACTGCTCATCAGGAGGAGCCTAATTTTTTATTATCTTTAATAATAAATTTCATTCTAATTCATTGCATATAAATTTTATGTGAAACTTTTTAAATAGATCATATCAGTGGGTATGAAGTGCGTGCGTCATTTCGAGATACTGGTTCGCACATCAAAATCCTGAAAACAAACAGGAAAACTAGCAATACCTGCGAGGGTCGATCAGTATTAGGAAGTGTTTGTCTACTGAAATATTTTGCACAGGTGAAACCTGTGCCTGAAAAAAAGCTTGGTGGGTTTTTATTCGATATTTAGTGTTATTTTTTTGTCGCGTCCACTAAAGGCCCTCTGCAATTCGGCAAGATATGCAGGGGTAATTCGCAATATAAGCACTTCAGAAGTTGGCTAAATAAAAAGCTAACATAGACAATTGTAGGGCTTTTTGTTTAAAAAAAACTTTAATAGGTGTTATTGCCGCAGGATTTGTAAAAGCGAAATGTATCGAGACAAATCATCTTAAACATGTATTTCATGTCCATTAGCGGCTCTAAATCAAATAAGACTAATTAGTTCTATATTTTTTTCATGCAAAAAAGTCGATGTTAACCGAACTGGGCTTACTTTTCACATTTGCAATCACTACTACCATCATTTGTTATATTTGATTAATACGCATCTAATTGCTTTTCAAATCGTTACAGTTTACCCACAACAATTTTTTTAAATTTGGCAAAAACACAAAACAATTTGCATAGTCGCCCGTTTCGAGAGCTATGGGTTGCCGCACAGTTACGGGCAAGCCCATTGCGGCTTCATACAAATAACAGTATTGTATGAGTTAAAATATATTTGTGCTTTATTTCTCAGTTCTGTTCGCTAAATGCATTATGAATTTGTTACAAGTGTTATATTTGTGGCATCGCTGCTGGCGTCAAAATTCATATTTGCCTTCGAATACGGCTTCCGCATATAAAATTTCGATCAGCTGTTAGCTTTAACGATAGGTTTAAACTTTCAAAACTTGTTGTTTCGTACAAGAGTTTTTCCATGTGGATATTCAGACATGATTTTATATCGTGTCGATGAAATGCTGTAACAATTATATGATTCTTTCTCTAATTATTATGAATGTCCACTGCAGAATGCAAATTAAAACAAAAGATCATAATAAGCGAGTGTATGAGATCGAGTGGTTCCAAAAACATGAGCAGATTGTTCATCTATTAGAAGTATATCATCGAATCTCTTTGTTTTCTCCTATTAAATCCCGAAAATATGCACTTAGTTTTCACGACACATCAACTTAATAAAATATTATGAATACCCGACTCTCGCTTGAAAGCTATACGAACTCCGTGTTTCTGTTTCACTTAGGACAGTTAGCTCTTTTCAATGATGGCCTTATCAGTTGGGTGCGGGCTAATATTGTAGGCTAAATAAGATTTATCAAAATGCATCTCAGCATTGGATACGTGGCTGTGCAAAAACCATCCCAAATACAAAAACTAGAAAGCTGAACACGTGTATGAAGAGAATAAAAACATTTCGGAGCAGTAAAATTTACGTCAAAATTATTTTGAATGCATAAATAAATCGCAGTAAGTTAATTTTCAGCTCATGTCCTTAATTGAGAAGGGGATTTATCGAAAATAAGCGCCTGTGCACCATCAAAATTAGTCATACCATCACCGTTTTATACAGAATTCACAAACTTTCATTCATAGAGGTAAAATTAACGTGATTTACGTCGTCATGAATACAAACAATAACGTCAATATAACAATGATACGCGTCTAAATAAAATCTAATACTTGGGTTATGTACAATTGTGGTAGATATATATGTATATATACTTGCAACGAGTTGGACTGTTATCCTTCATGACGGAACTACATGAGGCAATGCTTTGCCAATAATAATATCGGAAACCGTAAACGATGACCAGTCACAGATAATTACAGAAAATGATTTGGATTAGAGAGTTCGTCATCTTGCGGTCTTTATTCTGCTGAGTTTTCTCTCATAGAGAATTCAATACATTTTATGCACGACTAGCACCACCACAGCATAATGGCTATTTTACGTGGGTTAAGTGTGGGGCGCAGCCCTGTCGGTTGGACTCATTCCATTCGAGACTACTGCTCATTAATTGTCGATTCCCGTCTCCAGGTTCGCTTCAAATTAGCTCGGATCTTTATTTAACAGTACTAAAGGCCGTACTGCTTAAGTGCGCTTTTTGTTCGTCGGAAGTTTGATTTACTACCTCGTTATATCAGACGATTCCGCTTCACATAAACCGGCTAACTAAGTGATTCATGCATTACATACAAAACACGCACTCTTCTTAGCTCATCTTCTATAGCGTTCCTGTTGTATTATTCTCATCACCGTTGATCAAATATCTCATTATCTGTGTGTCTGTATAACTCCATCTATCTGTAACGATTTTCTGGAAAAGTTTAAGCCAACTTGAACTACACAACCTACATCGATCTGTTGAAGAGTTCATGATCCTAAATATTTCATTGAGATAGTTAACAACTGCCAGTCGTCACATTTGCAGATACAATTTTCATGCGACTCTATCGTACCACGGTAAGCTCATTTGTTCAGTGCATGACTTCCAGTTATTTAGGTGTAAAATCACAGCAAAATTGTAAATATAGTAAATTTAGCTGGACGTTTTGAAAAATTCAGCTCCATCTCTTTCCAAATCCTTAATTTCAAGGATGTCACTCTTGAGTTTCAGCTTGAGGATTTCGCGAAGAAGCTCGCTTCTGCAAATATGCAAACAGCAACAAATAAAGTTCATAAGTAACTGTTCAAGTATTGAAAAAAGTATAATGTATATTAACTCATTCTCAACCACTGATATTTACTGTTAATAAGAAGCGTGCTATGAATTCAACGTATTTACTCTATATAAGCTGACGATAGCAGCAACCGGTTAAAATTTCACTGTCTAGAATTTCAGAAAAGATACTTCTCTGCAAATCGTCAGGCGTTAACTTACCTGTGGTTTTTATCACGAATACCCATCTTTTCCAGGGAAATATCGTTGATCCGTACGAGACTTCTCCCCGTGATATCATGCTCCAAAAAAACGTGAGCATAAAGTTGATAATGATCAACGCAGCATCTCTTAAGCCATTTCATTACGTCAACGGTCTTCCAGAAGACGACAGGAACCGGGCGGGTCTTTTTGCGCATTTCCTCTTCGTTATTGCTTCCCACGGCCCCCGTCGAGGTTAACTGGGTGGCTGATTGCGTTGACTTACCTAAAAATAAGATAGGTAGAATCACTTACGTTCATCGGCTACTCGCTCAACCCGTGTGATCAACAAAAAATTGGTATTTCAGCAAATTTTAAATTTACAATGAAAAACAAAAATAGAAAGTTATAAAATTAAGTTTTTGTTTGCTGTTTCTGAGGACCGCTAGAAAAACTTGTTAGAGTTTCCTTTATGCCTCACGATTGGTTTTAATCAATTAAGATAGGTCCTTCTAAGTCTATCGATAATATATATCGCATAAAGCTCAGGATTGTAATGGTCGAAATAACATTTGTATTCAACTAATTGATAGAACGTTTATTGCCTATTTTAAATAAATAAAGTTTTTGCGGATCCGAAATTAAGGACACGGGCGGATGGAAACCTCAGATGCGACGGCCTAAAGATTTTTGCACTGTGAATTCAGCAAGCTGAATTAATGTAAAAATGCTCTGCATCAAACGCCTAGATATTAGGAACTTCAATTTTTACTAGAACTTCTACCTACGGGATAAATTACACCACACTTTTAAATTGGCAATACTTGTTCCATGAGAGCGACGTAATCTAGATGGCAAATTCGCAGTTCTGGCTACCATAATTGAAAAGTATAGTGCTCAGTACTAGCAAAAATGATTATTGAAAACGAATAATCAAGAAAATAAGGAATTAGGAAGAGAAAAGTAATGATTCATTACTAACGTTAATAGCTACTTGCCATGCTGTTTCATACATTTGTTGGAAAACTCCAGCTAAATTTATTAACATCCACCTTGGTTAGATTCCTGATAGGTGCAAGTCCTTGATGTTATACTTACATCCAGTACATGATTATGAGAACTTTCTATATAGAAAGGATAGCTGAAAGTTTTGAAAAAGCTTGCAGGAATAGTCGAAGATATTAAAAGTATACTGGCGCACTAAAAATAACTTAGCGCAATCAAAGCACATGATTTGACAATTTTCTTAATGTCTAATTTGCCAATGAACTTATGTATTGGGACCAAATAACTAACTAAATGTAACTTAAATGTTAATAACTTAAGCAATTTGATACATACGCATACAGACGTTTGCAATAGGTGTGGTCCATGTAACAATACAGTTTTAAAAAAAAAAAGGCATGTATTCATCTTTACATTTTTAGACGTACAAAAACAATCATTTAAAACACTGAGCAAGGCATTTCCGAAATATTCAATTTTAATAAAGATAATAGTTGTCAGTAACCCATCATTATCTATATAATTGTTCTTTTATGTGCCTTCGAATATTTTAGACTTTGCGGCGTTTAATTAACCACTCTTGATTGATACGCTGTTTTCACAACAGACGAAAATAGGAAGTAAAGCATTTAATTATGGTTTTAAGGTGTCGACCACAAGAACAATATAAGGCTTACTTCTTTCTTTTCGTCACGTTCGAACACGAATATTGCTATTGGACTGACTCATTTACCTGTATTCAGGGTGGGGCAAACATCTCTTGATAGATTTACTTTTCGTTGTATATATACAACACGCATATATATTGTATATATATTCTTTCAATTGTAAAATAGGGGCTCCTAAACTACTAAGTGACTTTGGCACCTTTATTGTGTAATAAACCTTGATGTCCTAGATATTACTTGACAAAATGAACTAAAATGACACGCAATTGAATAAGTTATCATACATGTGTTTATTTTTGTTACCGACTTTATAGAATGCAGTTGTATGATTTTGTTGCTAATTCTTGCTAGATCCAGTTGATTAATCACCCTATCGCTTTCTCCTAGAACTCATTCTTCTACCAACTCGGCGAAAAACGAAAAACCACCACTTTCCTTTATTCTTCTATTGTAATTTCTTTCTACCTAAAAAGGAAACTGGGCACAGTTCATCAAAACTATTATCTCTATAAATTTATATGAAATATTAGAAAAAGTCCCAACCAAAGTCCACGCATATGGGGCTTACGGTTTAGTGAATGAGAGTTCCGCAGCGAGTAGCTTATTTTTAGTGAAGGCTAGCCTGCACGAGACTATTTTTTATTCTCCTTCAAAAATTAATCCTTACAAAAGGATAAAGCTAGCATTATGAACATAGGTTCGGATAGCATCCAGCTTAACTATATGCTGCGAACCTTCCTCAAAGTCTACTAGCAGATCTGCATCGACCATCAGACCCTGGGCGGATTTTTTAACCCGGCAGAACACATAATGGTCCTTTTCTTCCTCCTTTGGTGGTAAGCTGAACTGTTGCATCCCAGCAGGCATATGTGAGAGACCGGCTTCGTGAAAGTAGGCCTGGCTGGCATTAATAATTTCTTCAACAAATGTTCGCTCTTGCTCTGAGAGAAGCTCCTCTACATCAGAGGCTGGTTTCTGAGGAAGGATCTTGTGTATTTTCTGCAATCGACATCGCAGATAATCGTTGATCAGATATTGAATACGTTCAACCTCTAGACGATGCAGACTTGCGCGGAGATCGTTGGCTTTCAGTTGAGCCAAGCCCTGACGCATGTGTTCGAGCTGGTCAAGGAGGCAATCCACGAGATCACCTTGATAGGGAAGCAGAACGGGGCAGTTTCGTTCGGATATCCACCATTCTTGGAATTTCTGTACAACTTGAGCAGCTGATGAGATCTCCTCAACTTCGTCAGTATCCGAAATGTCGGACATGGCTTATACTAGCAGAAATCCTCACTGAAAATACCGAGCGCGAAATATTTTTATCAGACATCCACTTGTTGCTTCACGTATGAATTAAATGGTTCGTGTCTACGTAGTTGAGAGAAGAGAATGGATTTACATGTAGAATACATCTACATGTTTACGCCTAGTAATATTTCTCTTCTTTGTTTTTCCTACTTGCTGGTTACCGAGTGCTAATGGACTCCACAACCTAATCCTTCTCTGAGTGGCTTTATTAGAGCAGAACGTGAGGGAAAACGGTCATTTAGAATTCGTCAACGGTGTACCCCATTGGTACGTACAAGCATTGTAGACGTAAGCACCGCCTGAACAACGATACAACTGTAAACAAACTGTGCGCCAAAATCTCGAAACCAGTGGAGAGACTTCCGGTGTTGGTTGCCGAATGAAAAAGATTGCCTTATTATTTACGACATTTTGAAGATAACGATTTCGCTGAAGCAAGCAGATAATACTGAATGTTCAACACATTAGCGATAATTAGATATCAATGCATCTACAGAAATTAGTCCCGCTAGCAACAGTCGCAATAAATTACTCAAGTAAGTGCCCATCAGCCGATATTTGTGAACAATAATACAATACATTGCGAGTTTACTTACCAAAACCATTCACTTCGTTTAGTCTAGCCATTGCTTTCTAACGCTTGTGAACTATTTGACCCGGATGATTCTTGATTTGATTCACGACACTGAGCGTTCAGCCAAACTGAAATCGTAAGGAAATCTACCTACAAAATGCACTTCACGTCGGAAACTAGGCGTTCTTAGCTGACGCTTGTTTGTATGGCTTATTTAAGCCGAGCAGTCTACCGAAGCGATACCCTCTCCTGTTCGCGCGTGGTTCCATATATTTTGAAATCCTCACGCGTCAAAAGTATTACATTAATATCCAGAGTAAAGATTAATTGAACAAATGTATTGAATGTTATTTTTTGAGCGTAACACCGACGTCTAAGATGAAATTAATAAAATCAAATAAGAAAAAAAATGGGGTAATCACTTTTTTGCATTTTTTGTTGAAATAGTTGGGCTCTTTTTTGTTTCTAGTTTTAGTTGTTTTTATTTTATTGATGCCATTGAAATCATTTTTTCTTTCTTTAGCTTAAATGTGTATGAATATTGTAATAAGGGCAAAATAAAAAAACTTAACATCGATGGCAGTGTTAAGAGGCGTGTTAAGCTGTGCCCAAAGCTTGATCAACACTGAAATTTTCCGAGGTGCGGTGAATTCAAGATGTTCTGATAAATACGATAATTAGCGAAATATTATTTCACACGCAATTGACCGCACTTGTTGTTTTGAATATACGCGAAAAATGTGTGCATTTATTCACGAATCGAAGTAGCTCTCAACTAATTATTGTTTATATATATATATATATATATATATATATATATATATATATATATATATGCTTGCCTAATTTGCAGCGGTAGATCTATTCATCAATTGCGGCATTCCTCAAAGGTTTTCTCCCCAAAGTCCAACTTTCTGGTAAACGATATGTCTCGTGGAGACGTAGCTGTCATTTTACCTGCAGGTGGTATCGGTGCTCGCATGGGCCAAATGCCATGTGGGCCCAAACAACTGATACCCATCAATGGTCGGTCGATTTTAGCTCACACCATCGCGGGAATGAGGCTGGTCACCAGGGTTCAACTCATTGTTGTAGTTACTTCTGAACAACTCCTCGATAGAGTCTGCGCTGACGTGAACAATTTGCTCAACGAAGATGACCTGCCATGGTAAATTTATTTATCTGCAATATTTTGGCAACGTCAACTACTGGTTAGGTTTCTATCATTTGAACTGTCTAGAGCATTGTAGAGGCCCTAACGTACAAACATTGATATCTAGACGGATGCGTTCCAATCGTGTTGGCAGAACGTAAAGTCCTGTAACTATCCTAAAAATTTCTTACCAGCATACATATTGTTTTGTGGTAATGAAGAAAATAGGTTCTGTTCTAGGGATTTCTGAAGTTGCCGCTAAGTTCGAAATTTCTGAATCAAAAGCTTAACTGATTATAAACCTTTTCAATGACTAGAGATTGATAAAAACATGTCATGAAGGACACCCTTTCCAGGAAATGATTACTTCCATAAAAGTTATTAATTTTCTGTTAGAAAACTTAACATGGTAATTGCACAACAAAGTGTCAAGCCCTTTAGAGCTAACGTAATGTGAACATACCACTCCCTTAACGTGGCCCGAATTAGAGAATTCGTTCATATGAAACGTATAGATCGACTCATAATGAGCAGTCATCGTCTTTCTAGATGACACTTAATTATAGGAAAATAATTAACAGATAAAGTGTATACAATGAACATTTGACTTTCTTTAGGTGTACCACTTAGTAAAACTGTATTAAAATTTATGAGTGTCTCTATTCGAAATGCTACAGCAGTGCAGCTGGCCCCCCAGAAGCACGGCTGCTCTGTGAGGAAAGTGACGGCAGAACTTCGCTAAAAGGAGCGGCTTCCGTAGAAGTTATTTGCCGCCCAGCGAGTGCCATTGACTCACGTCACTCATCGATTGCTCACGGGGTGGAGCACCTCCGAAACAGAGGCTATCTCTTCGTTATAGTGCATGATGCTGTCAGACCTGTCATCCCGATTAAGGTGCATTGATATACTATGCATAGACATACATATATCGGTAGATATTTCATTAACTGGAGTTTGGTGGCACTGTTTAGACCGCGGAATGAAAGGCTTTTATATTGATTCGACAATTTAATTCGACAGCTAAATTATTGAACAGTTTGTTTACATATCATGTTCTTCTTTGTAAAGACGAAAAAAGGCGAAATCACGGTTTCATGGCTTAAACAATCTATTACTATAGTATGGGAATTGATTACACTGCACTTCAGGTGTATAAACCTGTTTACCTTTTTGGTAGTTCTTAACTTTGTTATCTATATTGATGCATCCATGTGCGCTATGACTCTTATGACTCGCGTACTACACGTAAATTAATTAGTTGTCTCAAGTTTTACGTGTTAGCACTGCTTTTAAGCGTTGTTGTTTCAAGAAGACATAAATGTTAAAACTTACTCCCCTACGCTTAGTTGATCGAAGAGTTGTTATGCGCAGCGGAAGAGTACGGCGCAGCCGGTTTCTGGGTCCCGTTGGTGTCAACGGTTTTACGGATTGATGCCAATGGGCTTGTAGAAGACACCATTCCTCGGTATACGGATGAAAAAGGAAGATTATATGTCAATTCAGAAATGCCGCAAATATTCAAGTGAGTCATAACTGACATTGTTAATCATATGTACGACATTAATCCAGGGCGAATGAAAGTACTGCGTAGCCCACATTGCCAGAAAAAGTGTCAGACTGAATTGCGACATTGCATAACATACCATATATATAGCATATATCAACGAACTATTGTTTACTGATTTGGAGCAAAGTTGATACGACAATTATGATTTCGTTTTCCGATACAACATGAAAATTATATAATAATAATTTTAAATGAGATTCGAATATCTATATGGCTTAAGACAAGATCCTGCTAGTATTGAGAGATAGATAATATTAGGATATACGGTACGATTAATTTCCAGAAGTTCTTTCGAGAATGCGAAGGCAGGCTAAAAGAATCAAGTTGGGTAAATACGGACGCTTAATTTTAATTTGATTTTATTCATTTCAGGTATCCTATCCTAGCCAAAGCTTATTCCCTTTGTGATGAGCACCAACTCCTCCATGGCACAGAATGCCTTGAACTCGTTCGCAGGTAGGGAAGGCGTTGTATGATATCACGCCCCTAAAAAAGTTTCCATAAAGTACGAAAGAAACTTGCTAAATTGCATTAAAAGCTTGATTATATTAGTCAGTGAAGTAAATATTTCGACTATAAACACATGCGCTCAAAGTGTTGAATGTCCATATTAAATATTTAAACTCAAACCCATACGTCCACAAATTCGAAGCTTTAATAGTAGATATCACAAAACTCAATAGAGCAATAGGCCATGGGCTTCACTCAAACCCAGAGCCCACAGAAAAAAAGCACAAAACTTGCTAACGTCCTTCCATGAGACCCATATTTTGGCTATGCGCGTATGTTATATGATTCCTGAATGTATTACATGTATGTAATAGAAATACCTATTTCGTAGTTAATTGTCAACTTGTTTTGACGAACTGTCACTTTTCGTTTGCAGGTATTGTGGTGTACGAGCAAAAATGCTTAAAGGAGACCCCGATCTCCTCTGGAAGGTAACTCGGCCTAGTGATATTATCTTAGCGGAAAGCAAACTAAAGCCACCGAAGCAGAAACCGTTGCCATAAACTGAAATACACAGTGATGGTTAGAGATTAAGCAGCTTTACAACGGAGGAATGCTGTAGCACTTCGCATAAACAGCAGCGTATGGGTTTATCCATGTGGATGCAGTCGACCATGACCTTGAGGCGTCGAATCGTTAGCGACGACGCCGGCGAAGTATACGAAGCGAAACGTTGTAACTACAAGAGTCAGCACGTACCTCAGGACTGCAATAGCGTGAGTTCGAGCAAACTCTAAGGCTGAGAGCTATGAGGCACTTTAGGACGAGGGTCGGACAAGTATTAATAGGCACATAACTGCAATATCGGCTATTTGATGATCTCACCTCCCTTTATTTAAGTGAATACAGTATGTACTGGTGCTTCGAGAGAATGGAAGTTTTTTGCTTTTTATTATACTGTAGTAACACCTTACAGATAACGATCAGATATCTTCTAACGAATGCCTAGCTTGTCAGATACCATTACTGTTGTGCTAAGCATCACGCACGATCAAGTTGAAGTATCAAACGGGGCGTTTTTGCCAGATATAACGAGATTTCTTTTATATATAGTTTTTATATACGATAGATACATTGCGGTCATGTAATGCTAGAGCGTTATAAACTTACCGAGTTAAATGTGCATTATTTAGTTAGACGTTAGTATAGATTTATCGGTAATACATTGTATAGTAGATCCGAATTACCGTCACAATATCTAGTGAGAATTTTCGTAATAGACAGTTCATTAAAAGACTATGTGTAAAAACACTAGCGATCATTAAAGTGTTTGTGGCAAATATAGATATTACACAAACAAATACGATAAAGTATGCTCTGGAGTAGTTCCGTTAGCAGAGTTACCATAACACTAAATACGTGGTGAGTACTACTAATACTAAATATCTTGTGGTGACCCATATCGTCGAATAGGATCAATAGTCCTAATAATAATATAAATTAACTGCATCGAGACTATCGAGTCCTTATATTCATTGTTTTTATATAATAATACAATACATTATGTATATGTATATACGCTCCATATTTTCCACGTATGTTTTGTTCTCACCGAAGTGTGACGGAAAAATTATCCACTTGAAGCTACGAAGAGTAAGAATACAAGCCATATTAGAAATAACAGATTCTCTTGTTAATAACGATTTTGTCAGCGGGTGACTGCACATGTTTAACTGGTGACAGAAATTTGGCTAATGTCACACATCGGCGCATCACAAAAGATATGTTTGTTTTTAATGAACGAGTATCAATCGTTCTGGAATGGTTCTTATGCTTTAGTTATTTTTTTTTTCGGTTCGGCGCGGCCTTTTCTCGTCGTTAACGCTAAAGCGCTTATATGATCTGGGGCTGTATCCGATGAAAGTCTTCTAGCGGTTTTAGCCGACTAAGATCCAGTCTTGAAAGTACCCTACAATAACTTTTTCAGGGTATTATACACCAGTCACCAACGACTGCTGTGTAATGAATCAAATTAATTCCCAACAAAAGGGTGCTATAATCACACAATACTATTCTTATAAAATAATTAATACCATTACGATAATTATTATTTCACAAGTCTACGTACACAAACTATGAACTAACCTAAAGGTACGATCTTTCTTAACAGTGTTTTATATACTTTAATGGCTTCATTTTCCGTGTACCACAAAAAAACATGGGTCACATTGACCGAGTGTGCGTCAGACCATGCCATTCGTATTTATTCTCATCCTACTAATCCGCCGATTACTCAATTTCTAGGACGCTGAGTATCTTTCTACATATGGCTTCATTTCGGTACGCAATCAGTCCCCCGGTATTGCACGCCAATTGTTTGTCGTAAACATCGTATCGGATGGGTTTTTTAGAGTTAAACTGCCGCATCCCTCCACCTTGTGCCTGCAGCAGAGCTTGGGGTGCACAAGTGTCCCATCGGAAGGTGCTGCCTCGCGTTAGGACATAAGCATCGCACCAGCCAAGCGCTACCATCAAAAGCTTGTAGCCAGCTCCAGAGGCATGAGTCACAGTTAATGATGCCCTTTCTAGTTTCTCTAGAATATCTTGTTGTTCTACAGTCGAGACGACGACATTGTACTTGACTGGCAGATGAGGGACATTGTGGATGCTTCGAGCGCAGAAGAACGTAGTTGTGGGACCAGCATGGGGTGTTGCAAACGGTTGAGATACCGCAGAAAATATCGGGCTTCCTGATGACTTCGAAAAACCCCCGATAAGCACGGTACAGCAACGAAGACCTTTCCGATGCGGACGTTGTTGTTCAAGTGGAATGGTAGGGTCCGATGCGGAGTCCGCGTCCCACATACCGGCGATGTATTCAAACGTGCCGTCTGTAAAGCAGATTTGGTAAGCAGAAGGGGTAAAAAAAGATACATTATAAACAGGTATTGCAGGAAGTTTTCTTATATTCATTTAGAATATTACAGGGTAAATATTTCAGTAAGCAAAACAGGTATTAATACAAAAACATAAGAAGGTCTAGGTTCGAAGCCGGGCTCAGACACGCATCGCCTTGTGCTAGGGAACAACCATCGTAAAGGACGGTTAACGGCAGATACAAAAAACTCAAGAAATGTTTAGTAAAGAAGTGAAGGAAATGCTAGCTCCTGACTACAGAAGAACCATTTCAAACAGGTCTCTTTTTTGCTTTTATTATCGTTCTATAACTTCGTTCATCACCGTTCGTAAAACGTAAACCACTATTATGATTGGCCTTGGTCATCGGATAATTAATATACATAATAAAGCAATTTCATAAATAATATAGCAATTTCTAGCATTATTGGCACAATCACTCACCAATAGGGTCAATCCATATGCCGATATCCTCGAGCAATACGTCCTGCTTGTCGAGAGCGTTTTTCAATCGGTTGAAGTCAGCCCGCACTACCTGTTCAACCTCCGGTTCTTGATGAACGGCTCGGGCCAAAAGCGCTGCCGCAGCCGAATTACCATCCAAGACCTGTACGTCGAGAATGACGAATTACTAAATTCTAGCACCTAATATATTTGCGCCTCTCTGACACCCGACGATAGGGTACGTGCAAATATCACGTCATTGAAAACTATAGTTTTTTACTGAATCTAAATAATGTTCCACTTTTACGCGAAGCAGAACACATCCAGAGAACTGGACGTTATTTTCGTTTTGATTCACGAGCAAATGATTACATCTGAGCATGACCGAGTTGTTTAGTCGCATCTCGCCGCATACAAAGGCCTTACCTGCTCAAGCAGATTAGCCGTTTCTTCTTCGGTGGATTTGACCTCAACCAAAATACCCTGACCCTTAGCATTGGTGAACAGATTATTCTCTTCGCCTAGAATATTCGATTTTAAAACTGGCCACTGGAATAAATTAATATAGTTATAAGTAGCATTTCGAGTTGAATCATTGTTGGTCTTGTGTGATGGCCCGATTGTAAATTATTATGTAACAGATTTTTATATTCCACATAATGGTCCGCATTGGTCATCATAAAGATCGTCGAATAAGCATGAATACGTAGTGCAACGTAACAATACCTTAGCGCAGAGATTATGTTTTACAGTTTCCTGGACGAGCACATCTGTTAATGTCTTGAAGTCTTGAGCCATGCGAGGATTCTTATCTTTGCCGATTTTCTCCTCGACTAATAAGTCGAAAAGTTCTTTACGAGCCCGACATTCGCGAGCAATTCTAGCAGCTTTTTCGCTGACCTCAAGAAGGCCCCAGATCAACGAAGAAGTACTACTTTTAGGTGAATCGGCGCTTTGGTCGCCGCCGGCAGCCATCTTCTAGCGATCAACATTACGTAACAGTAATAACAGTACGCACAGGTTTCTTCTTAAGCTATCTCTTCATTAATCACATTCAATCATACGCACATGAATAGAGTCTAACCCAAATTCTTCTAAGCCGCTTACGATTCCCATAAAAAGAATAAATCAATTAAAATTCAATTCGTTTCAGATTAAATGAAAGACATAATCCGTATATTTTTTTCTGCAGTACATATTATTATGTTAATAATGTCATAATGAGCGACGGAATAAACATCTACTGCACTGATTTGCTGAAATTTGTATAACAGTTGTCCGGGTATATATCATAGTAAATAGAGCACCTTAAATGCGAGATTGCAGTTGACGATCAACCCAAATTTAGAATCTGTCAAGTTCTGCTAGTCCGAGAGATTTATATAGCTTCGTATTAAAAAAAGGGAAAATAAGCATGTCTTCTTGTCGGCCACAGTCTGTAGGCTTGGCATACTCTAATGTACTACAGCTGAATTGTCACACCACTCAAGGGAAGCTAAGCTATAATTTTTAGTTATTGCCCGTGCTTTTAAAAGAAGGAGAGGTAACGAAAACAGTTTGTAAAAGCCATTTATTATATTCAAGCTTTACCGAAATATATGGAAGTGTTTTCAATATATGCTGCGGTACTAACTTGATACGAGCTCCTCTGTAAGGGAGGAAATTAAATAAAAGCTAACGACAGCAAAGTACTGAATAAGACGATACCAAGAATTTTGCGAGGGTAACATACGAACCTTCTTCGAAGAACTCTGTGCGGTTGCGAACCAGTTAATTTTTGTAAAGAAAAATAACCCACATTAATTAACTCTGTTACGAATTCGTATCTTGATTTTGTTGAACTACTCATTTTATTATAGTAAATAGTTGTAATAGTTATATAACACTAGAACCTCGTAAAATTTGTATGTTTCTAAAATTGGGTTTACATTGAAAAAAAAAATGCCCATTAATGTGTACGAAAAAAGCGCTCGTTTAACGATAGATTTTAATGTCTAAAACAAAGTAGCGTATATACGCGTCTAGATTGTGGGGGATACACGAACGGTCATTCACAGAGCAGGGTCATCGGAGCAGCGCACGCCGTCATCACTACAAAGCCAAGCGAAATTGTCTTCCAGCAATCGGGTGAAGATTTTTTTTAATCGTTAGTCTATTATACGCGACAACAGTCTTTATCAGAAATCCAATCGCCAATCACCCCAAGGTACTGAAGATTTTCTAAAATTATAACGGGAATGCGTATGCGGTGTCTAGCAAATCAAATATTAAGGATAACTTATGAATCTCTCTTTCAAATGCCATAGACTCTAAAACGGATGCATTTCGCGATCGAAGTGAATTACAGCGGTGACACGCCGACTATAAAAACGGCAATTGTCCTCAATGAATGAAAATGACATTACATAATTATACCTCCATTGTACTGTAGCAAATATCCACTCGCTAAATCACCATTTCACTGCGACGAAGGTTAATATTATGGACTATCGAAAATGTTTCAGAGGTTTGACACTCTTTTCTACCTTTATATCTATAAGGGAAACTGCACGAAATCCAGCTTCTTAGATATATACTTTAGATATATAATACCACTTTTTAGATATATATTTATTCTCATAACAAGGTTAGTATTCAAAACCCGACTTGAATTGAACGTTCCCCGTAAATTTATTATATCAGTTGTTTGCCGTTCTCGTCCCTTTTCTTTCTAACCGCGCGTATACACCAGCTGATCGGGTGCAGAGCTAACACTTACCCCTTTCCTATTTGACCAGCTGGTCCGAGAGAAGTGGCGCAAACCTTCTGGTGGCTCTATCACTTATATCGCTTTTATATACTCATAAGATAAATGTGAAATGGTTTGTTTACTGTTAACAATGAGCGACATTCATTTAAGTCATAGAACAGCATCCGCAATTTGAGCGTAATCAATCTTCTTTCTTCTTTTATTCTCCAACTATTGTCATTACTGGTGAGAATTTTCCGGATTACTGGGAGCAAAGAAGGGCGCCTTCCGCCAGTTAAGGTATTAGTCGACGGAAATTAGAGCAGGTAGAACTGGGCATTGGCACCCGCTAACTGTACGGAATTCTAATGAAAGAGATTGCTGTGCACGTTTCCCTTGGGTGTGTTTTGTCCCTAACTGATTCCTGAGTGCTTGGAGTGCGTCAGCACTTTGAGCTTTAAAAACTCTTCCGACATTTATACAGAAGTCGTGAAAAACGCGCGTGTTCGTCCTTATGGTCACGCAACTTCCGTAAGTGTTTTTACTGCCACAACTGGTATATGGTAGAATTTTTCCCTTTCGAAGAAGGGATCCGATTTATTCTTGTGAAGCCAAGTTCCTTTATGAAAAGATTCAATCAGTGTGGAGACTATGACAAACACGGCGTAAGCTGTATTGAACTCCATATTATCCATGTATGATATAACTGAGTTCATTCTAAAATGAAATTGCGTCAACTTAATTTTAGAATAGATCATTATGTTAGCTATAAATTAATTTCAATGCTAATAATGAATGTTTGCATCCACCTAGACATCGCCAATTCCGTACTAATACATATACCTACATATATACTTTAACGAAGAAAGCGTCGCTTTACCGATTTAATTATGCTTGTATTTTTTACTTTTTGGGGAAGATAGGCTCACACGTCAGTTTAGTTTTGAATGACATAGAACACAAACATCATTCAGTCCTAAAAATAGTGAAAACGTATACTTTAATTTTCTTGTTGACTGATATTCCCGCATTATTGACAGTAAACACGTCGTAGAGTAATAAGGATTTCTTCAGAAAGCGATAGTTAATTAAAGGCTCATATAGGCAGTAACGCAAATACTGAATACGGCTATACGTTTTGCCAATTAAAAAACCGTAGCAAGTAATGTTCTATTTTTTATTAGTATAAAACACTAGCCATATATATATATTATATTAGTTACTCTAAGTCAGATTGTATAAACACCCAATAACAACGCATCTACGTGTACAGATATATTTGGCGATGTAGTTATTGCGTTGACTATATGATTGGGTTCAGTGGTCTCTTAACGTATAATGTACTCTCAGTGTGCTAGATTTTGCTGTTTAAAAAGCCGAATACTATACCGGAACTAAATGCAGAACAATGGATAATCGAAGTCTCTGTACGTTCCTTTTTGAACATTGCACCTTTATCTACGCATCAAATAAAACATTTTATAAGCAAATTATTATTCCGTTTACAGTTTACCAACTTCTAGTTAAACATGCAACTGTCTGTAAAAATGAAAATCCATAATTTAGAAATGTTTTTTTTTCGTCTGCGTTTCTCTGTGTGTCCATATATTTTAGTCGGGCAGGCCTTTATTACGAGAACGGTAGATCTTCGTGGAAAAGATTTGACTGCTGCCTAAAATCGCCTACAATTCAGTTATTGGTAGAATACTGTATAACAATACCTAGTCTAGAAGGAAAACCTTTATTACAAGAAAATTAGTTGTTTTATAAGGTACACATCTGCAGGACTATAGCAATATTAATAAAACAGCTATTAAAAGACGATCAGTGTATGCGTTTCCAACGCTAACTTTGCAACAAAGTGGAGTATTATCCGTGCAAGTCAAAAATGGAAGGGCACTGCCAAAATTCTTTGTAAGGTATGATAGAATTGTAGTGTCAAAGAGTGAAAATTACGTAAGATATGTTTTATTTTTCATAAAGGATTAGGGTTTTTGTTACGATAAATTCGTTAGTTCATTATGTTGCCAAGACGAATCAAGATCTTTCTTTGTGCATAATCTTCATTGAGTATTCGCTGAGTGCCTTTTCTAAATCTCCTATTTTAACACTTGTTGTAGCATCGAGAAGCGGGTGTAGGCGGCTCACAGCTGGTAGGAACTAGTAGTCGTCTGTCTCTGTGACGCTCCAAGGGCAGCGTTTGAACAGTCTGAAAAATCCGGAGGAGCTTCAACATCCTCAGCCATCGGTTCGGCTCCATCATACAAGGTTCCGGTCATCATTGACACGGCTGAAATTAAACTGGTGGGACCGTCCTGTGACATACGATCGCACATGGCGTGAATGTCCCGCGAAAGGGTTCGGATCGAAACTTCGATATGCGGGAAGTGCACGAGCACCTAGATAGGATGTCGATACAGCAAATCGAATGTATTATTTTATTTAATATCAATTCGTGTCCTAAACAATTGAACACAGCATGTTTGTCTTATGCATACGGGTACCATGTGGCGAAACTAGCAAAGTTCGTCATGTTATTTAGGCCTACAGATTTTTCTGGTGGAATCTCGATATCTCTCGCCTTCCGCCCTGTCGAGCTTCGAAATTTTGTTTTGCCATCACAAACAAACACAGCCTTTCGTTCAATCAAGGTAACAAAACAGCAAAGGAGTCGCACGATAAGACGAAAAGTTTAAAGTAACTTGGCGTGTATAATTTCATTCTGTCTGCTATATTAACTATAGGTTGTAGAAATTCGAACTAGAGCCATAGTGTGTCTCTGTAACAGAAACGGTCAAAGCAATGATTAAGGACGGTCATTTAGAAAAACAAAAAGTAAGGTTTCGAATTTTTTACAGCCTGCGATTAATTAAACATCTCTTTTTCAATCAGCTAGCTCCCACCAGCACGAAGCAGGCCCTATTTCAAACCTGGACTACCGCGTATCGTCATGTTTAACAGACCACTATAGCATCACAGAAACGACTCTAAAAGTTTCTCTCCATCTTACATTCCCTGTTGGCGTGAAGCGAAGCCAGACAGCAGAGGGGAGACAATTAGGGGACATTTTTCGCTCAAAAACTCGTCGATAACGTTCCGAAAAATTTCATACCTGTCTGAAGTCGTTTACGTCCAATGTGAAACAGCTGCAATGCGTCGCAGCCCGTACTGTTGCATTGCGTTCACAACGGACGAGAAGGCTAAGCTCTCCGAAGTATTGGCCTTCGTGAAGTGAAGCCAGTACTGCGCCATCGTGGTTGAGAATTGTCACTTCGCCACTTTGAATGAAGAACATTTTTTCCCCTATATATAGGCAACAATAGAAAAAAGAAGTTATGAAACATATAAAAAGATATATATAGCTTATTATATGTGTGTGTTTCGTTTCGTGAGTCGATTTCGTAGCAGAGAATGGGAAAACTACTAGACATATGTACGTAATAAATTTCGAACTAAGAAAATCGCTTTTTTAGTACTTACCTGACTTTTTTTTAAAAGCTTTGCGATAATCGTATCAAAGCTTCTCGTACTAAGACCAATACAGCGTTATAAAGGAGGTATTATGGCTGAGAGGCTTTAATCCCTCTATTCGAAACACCTACCACATAACTGTGCATTTGTCAGACATAATAAGAAAGAAAAACAGTTTGCATATGCCATGAATTGTTTGTAAAATGCACTCCGACGATGGAATCTTTCACAACGCATTAGTAACATTAATATATCAGTTAAATATATATACTATATATAAGTTTGTGCTACAAGATCATGACATGGACATAGTAACGTTTTATAGCATTTCCATCCTTGAAAGTTCCTCGTACATCCTTAGCGCAAGACGACGCAGAAGACGTGCATACATCTACTCAGATGTGCGTCCGTTAAAAGTTATACACATTAGAATAAAATTAAAAGTTACCACAGCAAATGGTTCTAAAGTTCTTGCTGCCAATAGAACAGCTAACGGAGTTGCTTACGCTGGCCTAATGTATGATAATAGAATCGAATCTTGAACAGATTGATTCATCAAATGCGAGTCTTAGTGGTCTTCTTGCCCTGTGGTCTGGCAGAAAGTATTTTGCATTTAGGGCGGTTAATGGATACGTTAACTATCGGTTGGAATGTTACCATTAAGCCTGTCCATCGGTGTTTTCAATGAAGAATTTTTCAAGTCATTCGTTACCACAGTATTAATATGTGAACCCCCCATGTTAGCATGACAATTACGCATGTTTTAGACTATTTATTACTCGATTTTGTGGGAACAAGAAAATTGACAGATGCTGATAGATCCGAAGCGTTTACTAACCAACAGTTCCATGAGACACAATAATGTCATCTGGTTGATATAATTCAAATTTCAGATGCGTGACGAGCTCGTTGAGGAACGGTGGCTCCGCTGAACTCAGGAACGGTAAAGACGAAATCATCGTCTGACAATTGTGCCGCATTACCAACTACCAATAAAACAAATACAGCCAAATACCAATGAGAACAAATTCGTTGTTAGAAGCAGACGTTTTATTCGGTGCAAGGCAACAGCTTCAACTGGACGTGTGAATAGTGTTTCTGCATAAAGAATGTCTGGGTGAACGCGTGAAAGCGATGGGCCTGTCAATATTATACACAGCGCTCGACATACGGTATTACTATATTCCACACACCGTACGTCAACTACGTAACTATCTTCTCTGATCTTATAAAGGCGCATTTGCGCCTTAACTAAAGAGAAGAAAACCACATGCTTAGTTTTACGGGTCTAGTTTTCGAAAACGACTGCGGTGGATTTTAATAGTTTTTTATTGTCCAGAACAAAGTTTGAAACTTTCAAATCCTATCTAAGTTTACGCTTCAACAAATGGCTCTCGAGGCCTAACTGACATTCATTTATATATAGATGAATGTCAGTTCAGATGATTACTTTTTTGAAACAACTAAAAGAAACTCCTGCCCATGCAGCCAAAGCTCGGTACTGACCTCTCGAAGTGGTTCAGACATACATGCCAATATTCTTTCTTCGTCAAATACCCGACCATGGTAGCGTTGCTCAAAGTAGTCCCGGATCTTGGAACGCAGTTTCGCATCAAAGGCTTTATAGGACATGTAATCTTCAAGTTCGGCCATCTGAAAGCATAACGTGTGTGCATTAAAAGGTATGGACTATGGCTGGCACCATTGATCCGGAAAGATGAACCGCAAAGGTAATATATAGCATCATGAGTGTATAGCTCAGTTTGTGTGATTTTCACTATAAACAACCACAGAACAGACAGAAGAAACGATCTTGTTAGCCGTTTACGGTTCCGGTGACATGGTCGAAATATAGCAAGGTAAAGGTAACTAATGATGGGAGGGGGCAAGTGGACATAGTATCTTAGTAAAAAAAATTGTTTGCCTTAAACTTCATTTACAATACTGTAGTATTAAAGTTAAAGGGAACGCTCGTTTTCAGAACTTATTGAAGTATTCTAAACTTGAGAAGCCGATAATGCACTCCTTCCTACAGGATTATTGAAATTACTTTACAGCAAGTTTTTGACGTAAAGAGGCGATTCCGTTATCGAAATCGAAATATTATAATATCCTAACCTAAACAGTTGGGTTTCGAATTCTATAAAAACGCATATTTCAAGTTTAAACTGCACGAGAACCAAAGAAGCTATAACCCACTTTTTGTCGATGTAGTTTCCGGGGTGCATCCATCTGTTGCCAAACTGCAGCAATATGTGCAATGATCAAACAGAACCCAACAGACCCACTAAGCATCCCCCATAGAGTAAACCACATGTCGACCAAGGTCTCCGGAGCCATGCGGCCGTACCCTATGCACAGCGTCTGCGATAGTGAGTTAAAGAGCGACCAAGAATACTGAACCATCCACGATGAGTCCTGAGCAGAGAAACACATAGAAATAAGAACATAAAGCTCAAACGAAAAGTGGCAATCATTAGCCATATGTGCCATTTAGTTTGAGCCAATTTCTATCAAAACGGCCGTAACATGCGTGTTGTTGATCACCAGTTCCAATACTGCAGGCAATACCGAAAACAAGCGTAAGTGTATTTTTATTAATCATTGGAAGACACGTTAGAAGTTGTACGTGCCTCATACTATGGGCATTTTTCGCTGAATTATTCTGCATAAAATAGATGGTTTAGTAGAAATCTTCAATTGAAGTCACCGCGCATGTAACCGGAGAAAGGTTTAGAAGCAAACGAAAAATTACAACCCTTTGTGTGCGTTCCAGAAGAGTCATTAAGAATAGCAATCGAAAGAAGTTTTACTAAAACCGTTTATTTGGTGCTTATTACCAAAATGGTTTTGCTAACGCTCATGGAAATATGAGAACAATGTGGAATATATAACGGGCGTAAAAGCGAGCTTTTTTTCGCCTAGTTGTTTCATCATTGTTGATATCTAATCGCCTGAGGTAATTATTATAACCTGCCTTAATGCCGGTGCGGGCAATCCAACCCCGGTCGGGAAAACCGAGGCAAGAGCTGACCAAAAAATGAAGACAGCCATTCCAGTGGGCTGTCAGTACCATAAGTGAGACCATGTTTAGCGTTCGAAGAAAGACCCAGTGCGTCGAGCTGGAAAACGACCTCTGCAGTTTTGTCATGTACCGCACAAGTCGGCAGACCCGTAGCAATCGAAGAAGACCAAAAAACTTTCCCAGCATTTGCATACGGGTACTCAATTCAAAGTCCTCAAAGCCTATAGTTTGGAAACGAAAGCAATAATTAAGCGTACCTTTCCTGTTCGGGCGCAATTATCTACAGATGAGGGCATTATCATTTCGATTATACAGGTTCGTGCGTCAGTATTGTAAATGTGGTGAGAAAAAATGCATTTTTTGGAAACTGGAATACGATAAGAAAGCAAAAATCTGTACTTTTACCTATTTTCACTTCGGCTTATTTGTGTTGTCTTTCATTTTCATTGTAGATACGATATATGTTCAGATATTCAGTAAGAGTCAGTATTTCTACAAACCATATAATTTACACATAGCTATTGAGACCATAAAACTTTCACTTCTTCAAAATCACTACCCACAGAATACTTGGATGATCTTTGGCAGAGTGTAGTCAAACGGGAAGGTCGATATGAAATCCGCGGCGAACCATCCTTTTAGGTAGTGAGAGCGAATAGCTTCTGATGACAGGTTCACCTTGTAGGAGACCCCGCTTCGATCGACAAAGCCTGTAGAGATGGCAGTTGTATCGTGATATAGTATTAGACTTAGGAAAAGGGTATAATGATGTTTAGAAATGCCTTAATTTTTTAGTTCATGCTTTCGACCTTTTTTTTCAATGAAAATTTTGCGTAAACAATTTTCAAAATGACTCGTTAAACGAAAGACCTTCTGGACGGCGGATAAGGTTCTCGAAAAACATAAGCGGCCCTCTACCATTTTTCAAAGAACTCTCTAAGTGAACAACAAACACACAAGGAATAAGTAATTGCACGTAATCTTATTCATATGTATATCTACTTAAGCAATATCTGTTACCGGTGAGGTGGCTTGGACGACTATACCCCTGTCTGTGAAAACCGGCAGGGATTGCTGTTTCAAGCTCTCCTGACGACATATACTACATAACGATTGTATTTAAGTGAGAAAAACACTCCCTGAAGCTACCAGGTTTCCAAAAATATGAACAATGTCCAAATAGATCGAATTTTACGCGACAATCCTTAGATATTAATGTCTCAAATAAATCCATTCTTCTATTTCTGTTTACTTCTATCTTCTCCAATATCTATTACCAGTACGAAGATTAAAGATGATATCCGCGGCTGAGATTACATCAGAAGTCAGGTTGAATGCAAGGCACTCGTCCCACCAGTCGAAATACTCTAGGAACGCCACCATAATCGGAACTAATATCATGCTGAGGGTACAAACTAATACCATGATAAGATCCCAGCGCAGCCTGCAACAAGAAATCCAATGGTAGCTATGTGGATATGCATTTTCTTGTTGGTGTTACCAATACGTATTTAACAAATCGTTTATGACATATCTGCTATCATTATTATTATTATTAAAATCAATCAGAATTCGCATAAGTTTAAGATTGATCATAGGCTTTTTTCCAGTGAGCTCAATGCAATCTCTTGTGCAACGAATTCTGTTGGGAACCAACGTACCGGTTAACACTCCAGGGATGTGCTATCCAGGTGGTTTTCACTTGGGAATCTTCCTTAAACGTGCTGTAATTCTTTAGCGCATGCCTTCGGCTATTCGTTTCAACGAAGAACTTACGCAAGTGATTCTCAAAATTCTTTCGCTGCCGCATCGTAGCAGCGTCGACGGAGTCTTCCAGCATACGTTGCGGAGTGAACAAATGCTCCAGAGCGCTGACTGAACTCGACTTCTTCTGTGCTTCCGAGCTTCTACCTGATACGAAACAAATAAAAAAAGCCCACAAAAAAATAGAAAAAATCATGTATTTTTAAAACGGCATCCTCTACATTATCCTAGTGCCACCCGATCTAAAACGTCAATTACGAAAAAATTGGCTGCATCATCTCGACAAAAACTTCGAGTTATTGCCTTTGCCACACAGCCAACGGCGCAGGCCCGGCTATCACCAAATGCTTCCAAGCCAAATATACATCCGGGTTCGAACCTAGACCACTTCACATGTATTTAAATTTAGTAGGCAAACACGCTACGCACTCTATTATGACGGGGGTAGACTATACACTACCTAAACGAGCAAATCTGCCGCTAATGAATTTAGCAATTGGAACTCTGCACAGATTTCTTTTAGTAAACAACTTGATTTTAATTTGTTTTAGATCATTGTTTTAGGTAGAGGCTTCGACAAGAGTTGTTAGGAGTTTACGTTCGCTCGACTTAGCAAACGAGTTAAAATTAAGTATACTTTAATGCGCTGTTAGACTATCTCGTTGTTCTAATAGTTACACCGGAAAGCCGTAAGATCTAGAAGCTATCCAAAGTATTTGCTATATTTTTCTATAAGACGAACATTTATTGTCTACCTTTAGCGTGTGTCTCTTCAAGATTCCGTCGACCTTCTTTGATTGGTTTGTCAATTCCGAATTGGCAAAAGTGACTTAACGGTTCCCGACGTCTACGGAAGCCTATTTGACCGAGCCCACATCTGGGGTTAAATCTAGGGACTTCGCTATCATCCATAGAACTGAAAGTTCGATGCTTTTGGTGATACACTTCCTGAAAGGACTTAAGCCGTGCTCGGAGCTGCAAAAGGTTCTGCTCGCTAAAAAATTCAAAAACCAAAAGCATTAAAAATGCTTCATACATATATATTACATTGGCAACAAGTTGACGCGCTAGATAACTATATATGTAACGTGTAAGAACGAGTTTGACATCAATATATGGACCACATAGTAAGCGACTCAAAAATTACTGCAGAACCGGCATTATAATAACTTTCGACGTATATTGTCGCAAACGACTTGTTTAAATACAGCAGTTTGTTTCCATACTGTTATGGAAAAATTTACTTAATATAAAAACCAATGTTTTTGCAAACGCATGTTCTTTTTGCTTAGATGTCGTCCTTTGAAGCTAGCACAGCAACTTAATGTCGTTACCAATAGCAAGCACAACATTTTCTATTTGAAGCAACCTTCCCTCCCAGGGCATTTATAAGTATAATGCATGAAATTATTTCAATCAAATTCGAATACACTGTTTGTTTTTTTGATTCTGTATCGTGCATTTGCATAAGATAATTCATTAAACTGCCCTCATAATTTTGTTCTAATCGTTTTCAGGATCTACAAGGCTTTTACATTGCGCTGGAGCAATAAATTCACGAAACGGTCGGCAAATCGCACCTTGTTGCCAATGTGGTAAATGTACCATAGGCTCTATGCATAAATATTATGCTACAGGTGGTTTCACGAAGGCTACACGCGTGCGATAATCAGTGCATATATTGTATGCATTGGTTTTAATACTTCCTATATTATGTACCACAGATCCCACATTGTGTTTAGGATACCATCCAATTTAAGTTAAATTCGGATCTATTTCAATTGCATGTATCTGCTTACCCAAGCGTGTAGTAACAATGTTCATGGCTGCCCTTATGCGGGTGCGCACTTGCAGTTCTGAAATCGGCTTGCTTCATTCTTTTGACTTCACCAGGCTAAACCTCGGCAGAACAAGCAGACAGCTTCACTTCAACGATTCACTAAATTATCCAACGGTGTCTGATCCGTTCTCGCCTCACAGTTCTGATCAAGTTGACATCCGCACACTTTGCGAACTTTTTAATCCGTCCTACTTCCCCATCAAGTAGATACACATTTGTGTAAGAGGATCTTATACTGATCCCTTCATGACAAGGACTGCTCCCCCCCCCCCAACGTTTTTAAAGTTCAACCAGTGTACTCTTCAGTTCTACTTCGTATGTCTAACACCTTGAAACAACCAGTAAGACAGTTATACCACTGCGTCAAATTATATAGCGCCTGTCATCGCGTTCGAAAACTTTCTCATGGCAATACTTTGGCAGTCACACCTTTCTGAGATATTTCTATATACGAACGAAATGAAATCATGCAGTTTAAATAACAAATAGATGATCCCTTTTCGTGTATCGCATCCATGCGGGGTGGTCTGCTATTGAAGTTCGACCTTTGCGATGGGGCGGTCCCGTTTTTCTCCTCGCCATTCTCAATGTGCATATTGTCTTTTGTTCGAATTGGAAGCGGTACCTAATGGGAAGACCCTGTACGCTGATAGAAAGATTGCTTTTAAATTTGTTGTTATTCAATTTAGCTTTAATTCAGCTGTGGTGATGCCAATGGTGTGTCTATGAGAGGCTGCTTTTAGTAAAAGGAAGATCAGATTAAAGCGGAATCTACATTTAACTGAAAAAGAGTCAAGAATCGATGTTTTACTTAATATGACATATTCCTGCAAAGATGGCATGTTCTTAAAACGCAGTCTAGAGGAAATGATACTAATACTTTATATGTTGGTGGTCAGCGATGACAACATGTATGCGTCAGCGGTCGGCTAGTTGATTTGTTTTAAAGAAATCTTAGAAAATGCTTTTCCTCTATTTCAATAAGATAAGCAACTAAAGAGAGTAAGGATGAGGCGACAATGATTGATACGGGATCTGATATGGCCATATTTCATGAAGATGGCTCATCACATCGGCTTAGTCTGGCCGGTAATTGGAAGCCCTATGTACCACATACGTTTTCATAAAGACCACAATAACAATAACAGTCGTCATAGACTCGGATCAGGAAGAAGTCTTAAGCAATCGAACAAGACTTATTTTCACCTCGTAGTTCTATTCTATTTATATTCGGTTAGCTTTCGAGATCCTTTCAGTCGAACCTCGCTACGCCTGCACTTGTCTTAAAGTCAAACTTTATTTCGCTATCACATTCACCTTTGTATAAATGCCCAGCTTGGATAAACATTTTACACAGTTATTATAATTTATCTATTGCTAACGAAGAACAAATTATTCAACCGTATTGTCTTAACATTGTCGTATATTAACAGCATCTTGTGGTGTTGGGCCATCGTCCAGTAATGGCGAACTATTTTGTAGCTGTGACCATGGTCGCTCCTTGCGGAGTACCATAGTTACGATCGAGATCAATATCTCGCTGGAATTATTAATTAGCACTTCCTAGTTGCACTAACTACCATTAGTGTTGAAAGCGATTATCGTATTTTTGTTTGCTTGGAAAAATTAAATCCCTAACACTATCTACTAGGGGCTCTTGATCCATGCGTTTTCTATATTTTGAATTCTCATAGCGAATTCTTCACGCTAAATATGATTTCGCAAGAAGCCTCATTCTTAAATCGCATCATTAACGGATACGAACTAAGAATTGCGGGATGCAATAGAACCGCTTTTCCTATGATTTTTTCATTAAATTTGCTGCTTTAAAGTGTAAACGTTTGCCGTAGAGAACAACTTATCTAGCAAAACCGTATATATTTATTTTGCATAATCGTAATTCATTTATGTCGTAATATACAATTACTATTCGTTCGATTTTCACTTTTGATTGTTACTGATTAAGATGTTACATATTTCTCAAGTTGGTACCTAATATAATAAAATAAATAACAGAACTTTCAGATAAGAACATTTCGCTGTAATATTTATTGACAGTAACAGCATCGATTTATCTGATTAGGTTCTTTTGTCCTAAATGACTAGTTCAAATAACTAGAAGTTCCGGCGTCTGTGGTCCAAACGTTGACCCAGTAGACCTTCTTTGAACTTTGCGATGCACTTCAGCAACCAAAAATGGCAAGTGGCCTTTTCTCAAGCTTAACCAAAGAGACCGAGACCCATGTCTTCATCGTCATCTTCCGACTCTTCCTTCTCTTCTTTTTTGGGTTCGGGGGTCGCAACTTCATCAGCTGCGGCTTCAGGGGCTGCGACGATGAACTTCGACGGATCTTTCAGGTATTCCTTGGCCGTATTAGCCGCCTCGAACTCTATGTCGGTTGCCAAGGCGATTGCAATGAGCCTCTTGACTCCATTAATAATCGAGTGCGGTGCCGACGCCAGCGTGGGGTAGCCAATCTGGAGTGAGACAGCCGCCACGTTGCGGACTCCGTTCATAAAGCGCTCCTTCAAATCATCCGGAGTAATGTCCAGAATATGGGGAGCGAAGATGGTGCCGTTGTCGTAAACCTGAACAATACGCATAAAAAGACAGGTAAATAGCAGAACAAGACATTAATAAGCAACCTTCGTAAAGTGGTTTAACTTGCGCTTTGTAGAATACAATATCATAGTTACGATTTATGTACAACGTCAGTAGAAGTAAAATTCTCGATTTTATCAAGGCGTAACGTAATTTGCGTTTACTCGTTATTTATTTTTGATCGAATTATTGTTTATTGATGTGTTCAAACTTACTGCTTCAATAACTAGACCGTACGAAAAGGGTGAAATGTTCAACATGTTGAGAAGGGTGGCCTCAGAAGCTCCGACTTTGTCGCCGGCCTTAATCAAATGGATAGAATTTATGATTTCAATCGTCCCCTTGGATATTTTTGTGGGAATATGCAGGGCTTGGAAGAAAGAAGTTTTCTCAGGACCCAGGCCGGTATTCTGCGGAGGTACATATACATCGATAGGGGCGATTGCTCCGGCACGGGCAGGAGCTTTAACTTTGTTAGTCATTATCTTCTCACGAACATTACACAGATCGTCCTTGGTAAATACAAAGCCCACATTACCCTTGATGTTGGGCAGCAGCTTTTCAAGAGCCGGACTACTTTCAATGTGTCCCTTGATGGCCTTACGCATCATGGTGTTTTTGCCCATAAGAAGTACGGCGGTGCCCCGAAGGGAGGTTCGGATCTGCTGCATTTGCTTAGATCCTACAACAGACAGAACAACAATGCATTAAGGTGATTAGTGCCTAGGCAATCATGAAAATGATCCATCCAGTTATCACATAGATTTCAGTATTGAAGGGAGTAAACACATGGTGATTCGTAAGAGGTGCCAGAATTTTTTTATTGTGCAATCATCATTTAAAAACAAATCTATCTAGAATTAAAGTACTAATTTAAGCTACCTGGAATAAATCACAATTACTTACGCACATTGTCAACTCCAACGATAAAGCATTTAGGATATTCATCCAGAAGCTGGACGAGTTTAAGGAAATAGTTTGCCTTCCACGTCTTCCTGTCCCCCTTAACCATCTTAAGCAGCTAGGGGCTATCCGAAGAAAGATTAAGGACTGAAATCATTTGCCGAGTATTCAATTAGCGAACCCGAATCAATCTGGAAACTAGATTAAGTTAAACTGTAAAAACACGCTTTGTGGTACGGAAGACCTCAGAATGTCTGATTTACTTATTATGGAAAAAATAAGTGCATTTTCTAATTTAATAAACAATTATGTTGTTTACTTGAGTTTAAAACACAACTCACCTTCATTGATACGAAAATGTAACACCATATTTCAGGTTAGGATATCAGTAATGTCCCTTCTGTTAATGTTTTTGCCTTCTGATCTTCTTTTTGGTGTTCGTCAAAGTTATATACCATGTTGGAACACTTTCTTGTGCACTTCCCTGGCATTTTAAAAAATGTGAACTAGCCTAGATATCGAAAATGCTGTTTTTCTTACCAGTTTAACTGATTTTTAAAATCGAAGCTCAGTACTAAGTTCTGTAACTCAAATTTGATGACGACAACGAACTTTTGAATAGGAAAGTTTTCTAGCGGTGTAAAATATTTCTGATCATTAGCAAACGCCTGGAAACGATAGAAAACCGCTGTTTACCGATGCACCAGCCGCAACAGATGAACATGTCTTTAGTGTTTCCCTAGCTAGATTTTATAAAGAAAAAGTAAAAAGTTATGCGCATAAATGAAACTTAATTACGAAATGAATCATCACGAAAAAGTGCGCTCGTCACGTCCATCTAACTGCTTTACATCATTTAACACTATCCGGCCGCACTACGTACAACATAGGACTAAACAATTAAAGATCGTAAAAACTTTTTACCAACCTGTTAGGGAGATGATCGGAAAAGAGATCGAGCTCAGACTCGAGTCTCGGAAACCCCGCCTGGCGGCGCTCTTATCACTCATTGTCAAGCTGGCGCAAATTTTAAATAATAGCATAGATTTGCAAGTTAGATTAATTTACAATGGCATCTTGGCTAAGCACAGGCGGCAGTCGACGGATTCATAAATAGTAAAGTCTCTAGAATTGCTTAAATGTAGGAAAAATATAACATACCAAATACTGAAAACAGCTTAATCAGTGCCACGTGACACTGGCGCGATAGCTGGCGAAAGCAGGGCGGTCAGCGAACCCATAGAGATAATATAGAGTGGGTCATTAGGCTAAAATTCCTATCGATCAAGTAAACAAATTACTAGTCAAATATATTTGAATAAAATGTAATCAACTAATTATTTCCAAAATTCCGTAACATTTAAAGAAATTAGGTATTTTCAAAACTCCAGTTTCTTACCTATGGTTGTTTTTTTCTTTTTGTCTTCCCTCACCAAATAATGTTGCTTTAACAAGGCGAATAAAATCTAACTAGAACAAGGCCATTACTATTTGCTATGAGTTATAGTTTTAGCTTTATGATGAAAATGATCCAGAATATGTATAGCATATGATTATAGTATTACGAAGTGTTTATTGTGCTTTATTTTATGTATTGTGGTTATATTTTTGGAGTGTATTTGCTATAAAAACGTGAAAATGTAACAATATTTTAATAAAGGAAATAGAATAAATAAACCGGTAATGATTTAAGCGATTAGGAACACAGAATAACGCTACATAGTTTAGGATTATGTGACTCGTTATAAATAACTGCAAAATGTGAAAAAAAATACTGTTATTAATAAATACCTTAAATATTAATAAATAGAAAAAAATAATAAACCTACATAAACAGAACGAAATCCGGATGCATGTCTATATTACAATAAAAAAAATGACGCACTCATGTTTGAATTCCATGAACAAAAAAATTATTATTATTATTTAATATATATATTAAAGAATTAATATAGCAGCTTTTATTTAGATCTTATCCAACATTCAGTCTTGACGGCAATAACAAAAATAAATCTTCCTCAAGCAAACAGGCAACATTTTAATATATTAATAATGAAAATACTCAATAATAATTACATAAACGATTATCCGTCCAAGCAAAAGACGCTGAACATAGGTGTCAAGCGCCATCGGGCGAGTTAGACGTGGAAGAGGAAAGACTCAGTCAGGTTGTCGGCTAAATAACTCGTACTCTGAAACACTGCTTCTCAAATCTAATACCAAGATAAGCATCTTCCAACATGGAGCGGAATCCATATTATCGCGAAAGCCATAAACGTATGATAAGGATCGATCATCTATCGCATTTAGCAATTTTCATTTACGAAACGATGTTGTGTGTAATAACGACGCCTCCCCTAATATCCCCAGATCCGGCACCCTTCACCCTGATTATAGATCTTTCGTAAACACTGGTGAAAGGATTCCTGTGCGTCTTGAAGATGGAGGCGCCATACACCTGACTAGTACATATAACGAGCTCGGGCTATGGTAAAATAACGTTACATCACGCACTACGAAGCAGGCAACATCCTACCACAAAAGGGAATTCAGTGCAAAACAACCTCGGTGTAAACTGTAGTCTGAGAGAGGAGGCTGATTTTAAATCCCATGACTATGCCATGGGAACGAAGTCGTTCTTAGAGGGAAATATATAGAACGGCCATGATGCTATGAGAACAGAGTGCTTTTCTATAGACCAGTGATTGTAATATGCCTTATGCACTAGCCCCAGGCCTCACAATGATAGCGTTTGCCCGAACGCACGAGACTTACTGAGCTTCAAGCCTCCGTTTCGCGTTTTCCACTTCCACTAGAGGAACCATTTGCATATTACTTAAGTGCAATATTTTAGTGGACTTAAATACAAGAATCAACATGTCGTTATTTTGATATAGCCCATTGCAAGAGCAAAAGTAGTTTTCCTAAGGTTAAGAGCTTCGCGAATAAGGTAAGTCTACTTTATATCGCATACTGCTAAAGCAGCGATTAATAACAGCTATCAATCAGCTGCCGTCATACAGTACTGGTATAGTAGATGGTAATACAAACTTCTATTGAATGTTCACAGTGAAGTCCTGACGAACTTGAGTGCATCAAGTAATAATAAATATTTTACAATAATTTTGCTATCTTTATTCTTTTTTAGCGAGATCAAAGACTCTTTAATAACTATAGGCGAGGCGGTATTTGCTGCGAGAGCGGCTGTTGGATCATGTAATCATTGATGATGATGATATTTGCCATCTTGTGGGAAAAAAAGCCATATTTATACCACATAGAACATGATTTCAAGTGAACCTTAAGCAAAGCAAGCGGAACCCTTACTATGTTTTCATAAATATATTCAACTATTTAAACGTTAACTTCCAAAGGGCCACGCTGAATGTTGTAACAACGTTTACATCTTCCGAAGGACATTCAGCAAATCTGATGTGATAATCTTTCATGTAGATGGCACACTGCTGTCTCGATATCCACAAAAGGAAATTTGTCAGTCATAAAAGCTACAACTATAGACGGCACGGTCCGTCTAAACAGAGGAACCTAGAACAGCAGAGTTTTCAATGTTTTGCTAACTTGACCACATTCTGAATAGCGACGTGAGTAAACATATGTCTAACAGTGCTATAAAGGACTAGGAAGGATTTTCTGTCACCAAAACTCAAGCATTTTTTTCAGATTTTGAGTTGGGTATATTTGATTTTTTTTGTGTCCTTCAAAAATTAGCTAAGGAGAAAATAACCGTAGATGGAAGCAATATCTTTCGTGCAAAAAACCTTAAGCTCAGTGCGGCAGCAGACATTAAAAACATCGAAAACCTTCGATTGCAGTTCAGTTCTGGTCCACAAAAAACTATTTTTTTTTGGCCCACTCTCGAGAGTCTGGAGTGTCTCACAACTTCTGACTCTGGGGTCTGTTTGAACGTTATCCCGAAAGCCGTGAGCTGTGTGAATTCCAGTAGTTGTTTTTCCGCAAAGCGAAGTAAATGGTTTTAATACTTATTCTTCATCAAAAAAAATTCGGTTCTTTCTATATTGGCTAAGATAGATTCAAGCTTTTCTGCACGAAAACGCTTTATATGAGGTTTAGAAAACTGCCAAAGTTTGGGAGAACGATGGCGACATTGCAAAAGAACACGATGAATCAGATATTATCTGCGGCATATAGACAGTGTCATACTAGCGACACAAGCCGACTACAATAAACCGATAATCACCTATGGCCTTTAAATAATTGGGTCGTGGGAGCTTGCTCCTTTCGCCTGAAACGTACGCGTATTATATGGATTACACTTAATGAGTGATATTCGAAAGAAAAGGGTTTTTTTTTGTAAGTGCAAGTCATAAATATTAAAGTTTTCATATTTTTTAGATATTTAACTTCGAAATTATTTTGGGGATAATTAGTTTTCTCGATGCGAATACTGCGCTCGGATAGGAAATTCTACTTTAGAATTTTGTCCACAGATCTCAGTTTGTTTAGTGCTGAAATTCATTTTATGTCATGAAAATGTTTGACGACGGGTGAGTAATGTGTGCAATACAGGTCATTAGCTTTGGTTCTCACCAAAATAGTGAGAAAATAATATTCAGTGAAATCTAGATATACTTAATTTTATTTTTTTATTTTAATTAGAGTTCGTCACAAAACATGTTGCTACAAACAATAAGACCAGAAGAACATGAGACATGGTATGTCGCTGTTATATTATGGAACTGTTTAATTTGTTTTTTTTTTCTATGTTTTAATCAGATTCTGAAAGTTTTTGATTGTATTTTTAATCAAGTAGTATTTACAGGGCCCTCTTTGTAGATCGTGTCCTTCCCACATTTCTGTCCTGTGACTCTCCTGTGAAGTTATCTATTTCTCAGTTATTTTTTTTGCCTTCTTCTTCCAATTGGGCTATTTTAATCGTATTAATTTTAGTTTCGCCTCGCCTCTCGTTTACTACATAATATTAATTTGATTGGTGAACGCATTATACTTGACAATTATATTCGCTGTCTGTGAAATAAGTTAATTTTTTACATTTTAATATTCTTTATTTAGACAATCTCCGGCCCCGTACTTCTTCAGTGTAGTATTAAGGACTTGTCCCACTAGGTAAGGTGGCCGGTGTGGATATTACCGGGTTTTCTCGAACGGAATGATGATACTTATATAGTGTTATAAGTTACCTTCGAGTTATAAACCTACCCAACTAACCAAGGACTCGTCGGCATAGCACAACAATAACTGATACCTTACAGAACATTCATTACAAAGAGATTGTTGTAAGGGTTGTAAAGGAAATTATTTAATAAACCTTCATCTGAAAAAAATTGCACTTTGATTTAATATCAAGTTAATTATCGGCCTTTATGCAGAGTTGCATTCCCGCATTTTAAGTTTATGATTCCTTCGCGAGTTCAGGCATCTGCATGGAGAACACAATGTACGAAGCGACGAGACCAAGTGAGGTGATGAACGTACTCCTGTCCATTTTGTAGAAGTTGCCAGCCGTAATCGCAACGTTAGTGGCACTCATCTGGCTTTGAGTAAGTTCCAGCTGATCCTCAAAGAGTTCGTTATTGTTCCGAAGGCCGAACTATCCGACGAGCAGCATGCATGGAACACTTTAAAATTATTCTTATCGGTATGGCGGTGAACAGAGGGAACTGTTGAAAGGGACAGCGACTTAAGTCTGCTCACTCGAAAACAAACAAGTCTGATTCTAGGTAAAAGCATTATGCAGAGCAATGATAATATTGTACTGGCTAAATGGCAAGTCAAAGACACGTTCATATAGGCAAATTTCTATCGTAAAGCTCAAATCTCTCAACACCAGTACACCCGCAATGGTCAATATCGATTATAAAGTCAAAAGAAGCTATAGGGCTAATGAGTGTATAACAATCGCGGCGATCAGACGCT